ATATCGTGGCGCGATGGAGCTCTGATCAAAATGTCTGTAATCGATAAACAATCCCTCGGAATAGCTATCATCACCACTCGCAATCGCAGTGCCATAATCAGCTTGCGTCTTGGCGATTGTGTAAGGGAGTTTTCCGGACGGAGACACAGAACCGTATAGGATATCCACGAGCGCGTTTCCGGATTCTTGACCGGGGAGACCGGCCCAGACGATTGCGATGACGTTGGGAAGAGCGAGGATGCTTTCGAGGATTAGGGGGCCGACGCTGTGAATTACTACGATTGTATTTTTGTTTACGGCGGCAACTGCGGCAACGAGTGCGTTGCCTGAGTGCCAGGGATCGAGATTTATGCGGTCGCCTTTTGCTCCTTCGACCTGTTTTGAGGGTGAGTAAGAGAGGGTTTGAAAGCATTTCGGAAACATACAGTTATATATTCCTCGCCTGCATCGGAATTGATAAACACAATAGCTGTAGCGGCAGCACTTGCCACTGAAGCTCCTGTTGATGTTGAATCTGTATTTGAAAGAGTTAAAGTCGTACCATCTGTAGCGGCCTTGACTTTGAGTGCATCATATGGTGCAACTAGATATGGAAAGTCAGCTGTTCCTGAGCCCCAACCCTATATATTACAATTAGATCTATTTATTTCGAATCGAGAGTAGTAACGTGCAGAGGAGAGATATCCACATGACTCACCATAGCTAAAGTTCCCGTATCACAACCCCTATCTGTACATGCATTCGCGCCGGCTGGATTGACAATAGCATCTTGACCAATCAATGCTAAACTGACCGGTTTCTTGAGCGGCAATGCATTATTAGTATTCTTCAAAAGAACGATTCCATCACGAGCAACAGCTCGAGCAACAGTATTATGGGTTGAAGAAACATTAGGACCGCCGACTCCACCATTCCAGGAACTCCAGCCGGTCACAACTGGATAGTTTGCATCTTGACCGAGATAATACCAGGAGGCCAGAATACGTGTTGCCATGTCATCAAGACGGGATTGGGGGACTGTGCCGCTGTGGAATTGTCAGATGGAATGTATGGATATATTATGTTGAAGGTATTATCTGGTAAACTTACGCGGTAACGGCATTGAGAAGATTAGTTCCCCATATGAAATTATTGTCGCCAAAATTGTCTCCTGGCATCGCCATATCCATTCCTGCATTTGCACTGCCCGTTGTAGTTTTCTGCGCTGCCCAATCTGCACACTCGTCAGAATTTTTTGACACGATAATATCTTAGACATAATTCGGTTTGATACATACCACTAACAACATAACCTTGAAAATCCAACTCGTTTTTCAATAATCCCGTCAGTAAAGCTTGATTTTCACAAGCGTACGAGCTGTTAAACCTGTTGTATGAACACATTACTGATGCGACGTTTGCCTTGACTGCTTCAGCGAAGGGCCAAAGATATAACTATATCATTGTAAGTATCACGCTTAATTTGTGACGGTAAATGGACACGCACCTCGTGATTAACTCTGTCGATAATATTCGAACTCATTGTTTCTCGATTCAATTCCTGTTCATTCCCAACTAGAGCACATAGTTAGATAGCAAATGCCATGAATATGCAACAACTTACGGTAATGCTTTGCGCATGCTTGGACACCTGCTGCTTGCATGCCCTCTACCGTCTACGAATAAACGTTAATGGATACCATTCTAATCTCGACATATTTGTGAAGGGTGACGGGATAAAGTCTTACATTCGCCATGGCAACACCAGAAAGATAAGGGTCATTACTAAACCCTTCCCAATTTCTCCCTCCCTGTTCCAATATCAGTATTTTCCCAGACAATCAACTAAGGAATAGGCGATAGCGAGCTACGAACCACTGGAATTTTTCCCAAAGGTCCAGCCACGGGACCCAACTGATTATGAACACCGAGTGCTTTGGCTTCGGCTCCTATCATGTAGAATGAGCTTTCATTCATCGGCATTTTCGTCTGAATCACATTATTCATAAGATGGATGCCATCATACCTAAAGCATTACCCCTCGCATACATCAACTCTGTATCCCACGTGCTACCTGTAGTAATTCCAGCAGGAAACGCGGTTACTTTTTGAGCATATCGAACTCTATCTCACATCAATATCAACAACATTAACCACCATCGTTCTTCAGTGGTCATTTCATTCCTTCACAATGCACAGAAAATTACATACCCCAAAGGACCATCTTGTAAACAGAAAGCCGGCCATCCAATTAAAGGAATAGCAGCGGTATTGCCAACGCATGGCCCCTTCTCCCATCCAACGCCTGTAACTAGCGTAACTTTGTTCGCATTCGTGAGTTTGGCCAAAGCCGTTTTAGCTTTGGTATATGCGGCATTCCAATCCCCATCACCTGCTGCGGCATGAATGGGGGTAGATAATGCTAGAAGGATAAAAGAGTAGAAATACATCTTATGTGTATGAAAAGACAGCATACATGAAGAAACAAAATTGGAGACACAGGGAAAGTAGAAATGAGGAATGACATATCACTACTATATACTCACGTTTGCACTCAAGCTTTGACGTGTGAGATCAGGGTTATGAAGTCACTGCGGAATAACGGCTGGTCATGCAATTTGGAAAAGTAATTTGAATCGGCAATGAACCCTTGGTGAACACCCTGATATACGGCGAGAACGTCCGAGTCTCACCGTGTACCAGATGACTCGAGTCATCCATGGCGATGACGAACTGACAGCACCAAGAGCCCACTGTACTTCTAACAGTGGACATGATAGTGGGTGTAAAATCCGATGTGCCTTTCACCAAGCATTTATCAACGCACTCCGAAAAAACAAGCACTTCAAACACAGGAGTTGAACGTATGTAATTGGTTTGTATTGGCTGGTAAGCCCCATGGGGTACAGAATTTGACTTTAGCATAAATTCCCCACAAACCACCACTTTACTCCCGGTCCGAATCCCCGTTCGGTACTTACTAACAGAAACACAACAACCACATTTTGACGCATTAAAACGTTTGGGTTTATTTGGCACTCTTGTTTCTCTTGTATTACACTCAGCTTATTGGGAAGGATGGTCTTGGCACGTGGACAAGGTTTTCTTTGGAATTAATATATTCCGAGCTTTTTGGTGTCATACTTGTTGATCTGCAAATAGATCTTCTCATCTGCTATCGACATCGTATAAGACGTCGGTTCGAATGACGTACTTTGCTGAAGCATTCGAGCTTCGTTTAACACCGGTGCCTTCGTGAAGTAAACTTCCCTCAGTCTCACCATGTGGAAACATTGCCACACTACCTTGAATCGGCTTTATTGAATACGCATTCATGCTACCTTCTTTGGCGCTTGGAAGGAAATAAGTCGTCTCTCCAGCGTCAAACTCATCGTTCAGATATATCAAGAATGTGAATAAAGAAGACTGCTTTGCTTCAGGTGGAGAGGAGTCATAGATGTATTTATCATTCGTGGGGTCAATCCCGGAAGGGGGCCAAGCACCATCTGTATCATTAGCAAGATGGAACTGATGAGAAAGGGGGCTACTTACCAATATGGGCACGATATTCCGCACCAGGAACGTAGCGGTATACACGAAATCTTCTGTTCAAACCTCTTACCTGTTTTCCATTGACTTGCGTTGGAACAAATTCTTTAACTCTGTTCCATACTCCATCGCAGAAAGCATTATCCGCAACCCAATAAAAGTTGTGAGCCAGAATACTATTCTCCTCACCTTCCTCGCGTATTGGGGCATCCGGTGTAAATCCCACTGTCTCGCCAGCAGCAATGATTCGAATACATTCTTCTGGACTCAAAACATCCTTAAGTAGATGTAGATTTGGCACAATTGGATGTGTATGGTGAGTTGTCTTTGGAGGAGTATCAGAAAAGGCAATGGCATTGTCCTGTGATGCCCAGAGGATCGCCGGATGGAGGTTTGCTGGCTTGCGGTCCAATCCTGGTGTTGTTTCTATGACCCGGAATCGAGACTTGATATCTTTTGGCAAGTGATTGAATATGTTACCGTCTAGAACCGAATTGTAGGTCTGCTTGCGCGGTATTGACTCATCCCTCAAGTTCCATGCTTTCCTTGGTACAATGGGACCATTTGTGTCTACACCATCCTCGATCGAATAGTCCACTGGGCCGGTGACTCGAAGTATCGCATCTAGCACAACCAATAATTGCTCTTCTCTCGCCGTTCGCTTGGCTGCGGTTTCGTCAAGTTGCTCTGCTAAACCACTAACAACGTCTAAATCTCGAACCCATCGGCAGAGCGCACCTAACTTGGGCTTTTGCCCTCGGATTCGCATCTCCGCAAGTAAAATTCTAGCTTCGGTATAGCCTTCATCTGCAAGAGCACCGCTGATACGAGCCGTCGGGTTTGTGTCGACTATACCAAAATTAGTGCTCGCAATTAGTGATGCGGATGGATAGATAGCATACTAGACGCATTGAAGCCCGTTGTGCAAGCATTTCGAAAGTCGAAAACCGCAGTCCGCAATTCCTTGCATGCCTTCGATTTTATCAGAGCAGGATTCTGCGCTAATATTTTGAGGGTGTCAACGGATATTTCGATATCTTCCTCGGCGATTAGAAGGTCGTGAAGAGTCTTGGGTTCAGTCAAAAGCTCCGGAGGTGGAGTGATAATACTTGTAGTCTTCACTTTCTTAATGTTTTGCTCAATGGGCAGATTTTGCTGCTTCCTCTTGCCCTTTGATTTAGCCATTGTAGACAGAATATTTCGGTCGATTAGAGAAATTGATTAATTGGATGGATTGTATCACTTCAAGAATAGTAAATATATTGCCGAGCGGTGAAAAGTGTCGCCACTACTTCCCCACGCCCCCACAAAACTTTCGACCATGATCTGATAGGAAGTCCCATTTTGACGTTCCATATATACTTGGGTAATTGATGGAACTTGGGAATTTCATCATAGATCGTTCCAAAAGTCACTATGACATCTCGAACATGAATAAGTCTCAAGTTCTCAGCACATTTACTTTTTCACAGAAAGACACGCACCCATTTCAATGACCAGAAATCTTCTACAGAAGCATATTAAAATCAAGGTCTATGCAATTGAGAAGATCGGAATAAGCTGTGTGTTCGTTTACTATCTCTGCTCTTGGACATTTGTTTCTACCAATGACCTGAAATATCGGTGTACTCGACGAATATAGTTATTCGTGCTTCAATGCTGTGCTACATTACCATTGGCAAGCATTCTGTAACCAGGTTGACCTAGTATGCTTGGCCCACGGCTGGAAGCGATTACCTAGATCTTGCAGGTGTACGCGTCGCAGCGTGAATCTTTTCTTCTCATTATCGGTGAATGATTTTTGTGCCAGCCATTATCTACATCCTATATTTCGGGTGAGGGGACCTTTATCTCCAAGCAACAAGGATCCCGTCGATTCTCGGGCCAAGGCCTCACGAAGTCAGCATATAAGACGTTTATCCAAGCCAATGATATTGTGAATACTCTCGCAAGAGTAAGCTGAATTTGGTAGTGCAGCCACTGCAGCGACGAGTTTGACGGATCAACGAATCATTGAGCCTACTGACACACGAAGTAGTATGCCAGCGGCATGCAAGGAGCAAGAATTGACGATGAGCCTATCGGTTGAGATCTTGCATGCCGTTTGAAATTTTTTGGAGATGCTGCCTGTTCATTCGCGGGCTATTCTTCAATGTGTTTGTAGCTGTAAGACTGTTCGAGAGTATATATCCCACCATCTGCAGTTGAAATCTAAAGAGTGGACTTGATCTACATTAGCTAATATAAGTTTGTCGACTAATTCTCTTCTTTTTCCTTACTGACATCTGGCTCCAGCAGAGAAAATGGTTTCGGCACACGTAGAAACACCACCTACGGACACAACTGATTTACCAGATTACCTTCTGGACCCTAATGCAGTAATGAAGGATGTTGATGCCAAATGGCGATACAATCAGCCGCCGGACTATACAAATACAAGAAGAGTCTGGGCACAGAGTGTGTGGATTCTATAGCAGATCATCCTCTACAAAGAAGAATATCCATTAACTTCCCGCAGCCAAAACACAAAGTCACACGGCTGCGTCTCTACCCTCTCTTGTCGAAAACCTCGTCAAGAACTGGGAAGTAGAAGCCTCTTTCAAAACTGACATTTCTGACTGGCGCACCATCGATCATCCCAATTTCACATTCTCTATCAATGGCTCTGCACCCGTTACAGGTGAATACATGTTAGAAGTAGGCACTTATAATGCTATCCTCACATCAAACGAATACTATTCTCCGGAAAAATCAGATTTTTCGAGCAGTCACAAGACATTTAAAAGGATGATGCCAACCTTCGCGTGGGAGGTGTTAGAGGTATATAGTGGGCCACCAACCGTTAGTTTCAAATGGAGACATTGGGGTGTTATGAAGAATGATTATGTTGGAGTAAATGAGTACGTTCACATTTCCTCCCACCTTCGCATCTTCCCCTTGCCCTGCGTTAACCTCAATTAGCAAAGGCGAAAAGGTAACCATTCCCTCGCATGGCGGAACGATCGACATTCAAGGCGTCGCAATAGCGAAAGTCGACTCAGCAGTACGTCTTCAAGCTGTAGAGATATTCTACGATCCCCTCGAGATGTTCCGACAGATAGCGAACAAAAGCGATGTCAAGAAATCTGAGTTGCCTAAAGGGAGCAAAGCCGATCTAACAACGTTGTTACATGGGGAAGGATATGCGGCTGAACAGGCAGAGGCTGCGATGGTCTCTACAGGTTGCCCATTTATGCCTGGGGAGAACAGGGAATAAGGTCGAGATTTGGGGCTACGATACATGTTCCTCTCAATTGGAAGTATTTAGAGACTTGGTACCACGGCTGGGATATGACTGCGTTTATACTTGAGGTCCGTGGTTGAGAAAATTTGAATCTAAATTTGCTCACTCTATCATTTATCTACTTGGTAGTAGAACATCTACTGTCTTGCACGTCTTTCATGTCACATTTGCTTCGCATTTTATACTAATCTGTCAATAATTCTCTCTCAATGAGGCGATGAAGCAGCTTCCGACCAAATTTGGTCGGATACTTGACAGCCGCAGTTTTGGGTATTCATAGCTTGACCAGGTAACATCGGTTATTTAAAAGTCACTTGGTGAATATCCGCAGCTTCAGAATCAAAGGCTGGATCGTTGATTGGCTTGCTGCATGTGAGAACAGATGACGGCCTTTGTCTAATAACTTGAAGTTAAGAATGCAAAATTCAGCTAGAACTATATGGCTCTCGGCGATTTCCCATACAGTATGTCCTAGTAGCTGGAGAATCTTCCTACCTAATCATCAATTGGGATACTGTTCTAAAACAATATTTTAGAGGGTCCGCTAGAACCTGAATAGTCCGAGCATAAAAGAATGTGGACAACTTGGGTTTGAAGAAGTCTTGGCAGGGCTGGAAATATCTATTTGAAAGTCAGAGGACGCTTGAATGATTTATCTGAAATCGGCTCCATGTGGTTATCCAATCAGCTGGACTGTTGACACATCTCGATATACGAAAAGGCTCTGTGCTTTGTGCTAAGACTCCAGTATAGTACCGACGGCACATCTCCTGGCGGACAGGACAACAACCAAATATCTTGTACAACTTGTGGTCTCATTATATCCATCTGATTCAATTACCTTCTATTGGAAAAATCTCTTAATGCTAAGTCTAGCTCAAGAAAACATCAAATCTCATCTCTCTGCTATCCTCTTTGATATTATTGAATCCCAGATTCGCAGCATGGTGAAAAGACCGTGCAACTGTTTCGCCTTCTGGAAATTTGTGACATTTGTTTCATTCACCAAGCATTTTAAACTGTCGAGCTGGCCTGTTTCAATTTATCTCTTCTATAGGTTGTTTTGTAATTTTGTAACCCTTTTTCCATATGCAAAACCTGAATCATCGAATGGAAGGATACTATTTTTGGCGGTAACGCCAATGGAATGGCTAATGCTATTCACATTACAACCAAATCCTTGGTAATTTTCCCTTCTTGACAAAGACTCCCGCAAGCTGCTCCTCATCTAGATTAACATCTCAAAAATGGAAACCAGGGGGGCGGTTATATTTTCGTGGCTTTTACTGGTCGAACTCAAAACCTAGGGAATGAACACATTAATATTAGACACAGGGACCCGAGACTCAACACTCTCAAGGGCTGGTTCTCTTCGTAATTTATATTGCTATCATTTGTGAATCCATACACACATGAGTTCAAACTCTCAATGTTAATTCGACAGATTATAGCATTGGCGACAGCCTTGCTGGTACAGGCACCGGTAGCTTTATCATATAATGGTGTTGGACATGATCTTGTGCAAGATGGAATCCAGGTCCTGAATCAAGAACAGGTACAGAAATCGCAAGAACAAGCGCAGCAAGCACAGGGTCAGCAATGCCAGAATCAGAATCAACAAATGCAAGGCCAGCAATCGCAGTGTCAATCCTCAACTCAGAATTACCAAAGCCAACCAACAGGGGGTCAAGGACGAAGAGGACTGCAGCCTCAAGCTCAACAATCTCAAGCTTCGCAAAATCAAAGACTCCAGCCTCAGTCAACTAATACGGGGGGGTCTGGACAATGTTTTTCATCAAACGGATCTTTTGATCCAAACGGAATACCTTGCTTTAGTAACGATAGCGCAAGTCGATGTTGTGGATCTGACGAGTTTTGCTCTACTAATAAATTGTGCGTTTCAAAGAACGATTCAAATAAATTCTCCCGTGGATCTTGTACAGATCCCACTTTCAGAGCAGCTTCTTGCCCGAATATTTGTCAGAGTAGTAGGTTTCCAACACTTAGCATGTGACGACAGTAAAAGAGGTCTGGTTGCTAACATGTAATACAGTCTTCGATACTGGGACAGTATTACCATGTGGTGATCCGTCGCTAGGACAATTTTGTTGCGACGAAGGTCGAGGTTTTGAATGCTGTTCCACGCCAAGGAAAGTCTTCACACTAGGCAAAGGAACAACTTTTACGGAGAACTCTCCCAATTCAGCCGCCACCACCAACTCAAATACAGACTTCCAGCCACAAAGATCATCTCAATCCGCAACTACAAGCACTGAGACTGAGACTGCGACCCAAACTCAAACTCAGATATCTTCCGCAACCCAGACAGTCGTCAGGACTTCCGTTTCCGTTTCCGTTTCTGTACAAGTTGTCACATCCAATCAATCTCCCACTTTCGCCATATCATTTTCGCCAGCAGCTTCAGTAACATCTTCGACGTCAATCGTTCTTGTTACACAAACAACACCACAAAACCAACCATCTAATTCTCTCCAAGCATCGCGAAGCGGAAGTGTGTATCAAAATCAAAATAGTCAACCTTTATCATCCTCTACCATCTGGGATGCCAATACTCAAACTTCTGCTTCTTCAAGTTCCAATGGAGACCAAGGTCAGAATGGAGGAACAAGTTCAACTTCAAGTGCGAATTCTCAAGCCTCAAATAAGACCCAAACCCAAAATCAAACCGATAACCAGGATATTCAATCCGTCGTGTCAAACTTTCTAAAATCCCCCAATAATATGACCGCAATTATTGCTGGATCCAGTGCCTTGGCTGCCATTGTGATGTTGGGAATAGCGATAGTCTGTTTCAGAAAACGAAGACGGAGTAAGAAGTCAGGTATTCAGTTGCAAGATGGGAAAAGACGAGGATCTGCATCTGAGAGGGGCGCTAGCGAGAAAAAGGGAAAAAGAGATGAAGATGGAAATGGAGATACAAGTATAGGGGTATTTGTAACAGTGTCTGAAAAACTTAAAGGGTTTAAGGAGAAAGCACATAATGCGCATCTGAAAGAAGACGATAGGGTCTCGAGGGAATTTGATGGAGCGCTTGGAGGCGGAATGTACCTGGAAGGTGGTACGATGGGAAGAGGACGACCACGTGGAGACTTGGGAAGGATTTCTGCTGATAGTGAATACGCGAATATTAAAGATATGAGTACGAACCCAAATATCCCCCCATCCATCCCTTCGAGCTTCAGCAACCCCAGAACGCCTCCTCAGCCGCCTTCACTACCGCCGTTCCTTCCATCCCAATCTCGAGATTCGGAATACAGAAACTCCCGAGGATCTTTCACTTCAGCAACTACGGGATCTCATTATAGTCGCGCGACAAATGGAGACCCATTACGAATACCGTTGCAAATAGATATGCCCGTGCCATATCGTCCAGTTGGAAGTGGGAATAGTGGAGCGTATGGGCTACTATCGCGAGAGGAAGAACAAGGTTCTGGACTCGGGCAGGAGCGAGTGAATGAACAGAGGCAGGAAGAACCTAGAGGTTTCTTTTAGGCTTTCATCAGAAGGGAGAGTTGAGAGATGTATCCCGCTATCTGTTGTATGGAGCCTAGGACTGAGAGTATATAATCATAATTTCAAAAATAAACTCAAAATCTAAAGTCGAAATCTGGACTTCGAATTGCCGTATCCTTGTGATCTATATCATTTATTATTCCCAGCTTTAGAATCGAGACGAACCAAAATTTCTAGGTCAATATGGTCAGGTGTGTAACCCGTATTTGCTGACACTTCTTCTTGAACAAACCCTCATCGTGATGATACAGAGCCTTGGGCGTAGGTAAACATTTACTGTGTCGATAAACGCATTGTCGTAGATGGCGTACATAGAAAAGAGAGCCCGACGTGTTGAAAACGAAGGATTTGTAAAGCGAGGACCACGGGCGGCATGACTCTTCCCTCATACTTCTACGAAATACATCCATGTTCGAGCATTAAAAATAGTTGCCCAGATAGGAAGATTGTAGTATCATACGATTTTTGGTATAAATTGACCACTGGACGTTGGGGAGTGGATGCCTGGCGAAGAGTTGAGCTTGGTAAGCGATGTTGGTTTGTTGGTTTGAAGACCAGTCATTCTGGTGTTTCAATTGATTTCTAGAGACAACCTGTTAGAGTCATGTTAGCTAATCAGCTCGGAACCAATGACTAACTAGTCGACGGCTAGATCAAATTTGATTATTGTGACAAACCTTGAGATGAGCGCTGAGCTCGATGTGAATTGGGTATATAAAGATCTCCATTACTGTTGTATACTCACAATTTTCATAATGGCCCACCTTGAGCTTGGACTGTGCGAAGACTCCAAGGGGTGTAACTCAAGGCTTGAGTAGTGTAAGTAAAAAGGTTTCCGCGGAGGCTATGGTTGCGATATTTCTTTCGACGATGGAGGTCTATTCATTTGTGAGCTTTGAAGTCAACGATTGAGGTGAGTCAGGAAGGTGACGGAATACATTGTAGCTTTACTAATATCTAGGTGGAACTATGTCCTTCTTAGTCTGGGTGTTGAAATGATTTGAAATTGCCAATTCGAACATGGAATATTTGTATATAAGGGAGGCATTGGACGAGTTTTCTGCATAACAATGTGATTGAGATGCATTAAAAAACACGTCTTCATATATCTTAAATAATTAGAGACTGATACACGATTGTTGAAGCCTCGATCAATGTAGAGAATATTCTGGTGTGGCTGTATCACAAATGAATAGATATCTCTCTAAGACATAAAATGGCATATAAAGCAACGCTATTTGTAGGAAATACTGAACCGTAATTACCCAAGAAATTCAGTCATAGATAACCTAGCAAAGGATTATGCGGAGGTTTGAGAGCCACAAAGATCCGAAGTCAGATAATCCTCAGATATCTTCACCCCTTCTGCTCCCTAAAGTGCGTCGGCTCATTTCAGAGCACCGCTCAAAGCACGAATTTGTAGTGCGGTAGCTCAAGTAGCGAAGTAATCAATGCCACAGAGTGCATCACTTCGCTTTCTTCAATCCTATGTGCGAGCGATGATGAAGTTTAACTGCAATTTAAAATAAATAGGACGTGACAAACTTGAAGAATACTATTCCATTAGAACCAAATTCAAAATTCGTCCGAAAGGATTGAGGAGGAGTTCGCCAATCATTCCATATTCTGTCGCTCACTATCTCTTGACCTATCAATTTAGGCAGCGAAAGTAATGGCTGCAATGTACCAATTCACATATGTAAACGCCGTGAAAGCACTTGGTCTGGAGTTTTATGGCCAGATTGGCTCAACACCGTAGTACCTTCCTTGTTACTTGTGAGACTCGGAAGCATGGAACCGAAACCTTCCATTTAAAGCCGACCTATAAGAAGTTGGGATTGATGAGTAATTGGGGACAGACTCATACAAGATTGTGTTGAGCCCGAAAATTTCGGCTAACATCGAGTCGGAAAGCATGGTACTAACCATGGGAGGTTTAGACAATCAGGGATACGGCACACTTCTCCGGTTGGTTGTGACCCGTTAAATAAGGATGCCCAATCGGCTAGCCAGGCCGAGTATGAAACGCGCACCAGTAAGGTAGGAATCAAGGCCCCGAACCCCCTATTTTCCATATTTATTGGAATAAAAAATATAGAGATATATAAACGTATGACCTCTTTTTTTCCATCATAAAAACAATGTCATCCGAGAAGAAATGCAATAAAGAAAAGGCCCGCTTAAGAATCGAGTAATTGCTTTTTTCAAAACGCTTGTATCCTTGAAACTTAGGTTGAGAACCAGCTTTAGCTTGGGCGCGCCCTCCTTAGTTTTTTCGAGTTTCCTGGCTTGCACCGCGCGAAAATAGATGAAGGATGGCAAGTGTTTTCCCAAAAGTTAGCACAATCGCCGAGGGCTCGGTTGAGATCAATTCAATGCACACTATATCAGTGTGGGCTCATGAGAATCCCATGATTGACTCGGCCTCATATTGTGTGTGGGAAAGAAAAACAATAACCCTATTCCGACTGGTAGCAACTCGACGCAACCGGGCACCTATAGAAAACGAAAGGTAGATGTAACTAGAACTAACCTGGTTAGAGTCTGGAAAGCGTCGTACTAAGGTAGGGCTGCAGTATTCTTACGGAATAAGCACATGGTCAAGGTCAAGGATTGGTTGATGAGATCTATGCTGCAAGATCTCGGGAGTCGAGTACACGTACTAATAAGTAGGTCAATGCGGAGGTCGTACGTGTGAAGCGAGTCAGCGAAAGTTCCCAGAGAGGCTGAGCACGTGAAAATGGACTGTCGAGAGCAAATTCGTTGCAAAGAATCGTTGCTGCAGAACGAAGTTTCCACTCGGAGTTGCGGAGTTCCGGAGTTGCAAGAGACATCTCAGCGATGTTGTGTCTCATCCGAGGTCTCCATATTTCAGAACCAAACACATCGACAACAGACAGGACTATCACCTGACCCTAATCCGGAGCTCCGATTCGCTATTATGTTCCTCAAAATCTCTGTCATATATCACAAACAGCAATCAAATTTTGCTGCTGCTTAATCTGCGTCATCAAACAATTGATGCTACCCAAATGTATATATACATCCTGAAGGAACAGCACAAATGATTCCATCAGCAATCGGTATCTTGCATCTCGACACTCACTTCTCATAACTTTTTCAACACGTGACCGACCACTGAACGCGAAAGATTGAGATCATCTCAGTGAATCGGAACCGGCACCAACACCAGCACCAGCACACCAATATCGGTATCCCGATATCTGCAATTTTTCGCACCCGCTTGAGTGGACAGCTGTCTGGCTGACTACATACTTGTTTGTGTATTTACGCAAAAGGCACGTCCGCAAATCCGCAACACTCGACGAATCAACACCTCCTCAATCAACCAAAATGGAAATATCCGATCGGAGACTGAAATCTCTTCAATAGTGGTGCGGGATACCCAACTTCATCATTTCTCTCGCGCGCCAGCTAATCTTCCGCATGTAGAGGAGTCTAAAAGTCCGAACATTGAACTGTCTCGCATATTTATGCTTTCTTACCTGGTCATTCCTTATCAAGTTGAAAAGTCAAATATCGTCTTGACCGGTACCTCCAATAACCTAATCGAGCTCATGTCTCATCTCCGAAGTGGAGCCTTCCTTTTGACTTTCAACATTTGACCCTGGTGAACAGATGCATTGGTCATGATCCGCTCGAGATTGAAGCGAGTCCGAACTTTCCACTCCGCAGGGAATTGAAGATATATCCGGATATCGCAGAAACGTGTTAATCCGGACACCCGACGGCAATTTGTACATCAAAAAGCTGGTCAACTACCACCACGTGGTGCCGATAATTTATAAAGTTGTCGATTAATTGGCGGAAGACAGAACTCATGAGAAAGTGCATCACGCCCCACATAGATAAGAATTCTTCGTTATCCTAATTGTCACGTGGATATCGTTTGGCTATCTTGTGCAGAATTGCTCGGTTCTGCTTCAGAACACCCTTTCCTTTTTGTAGAAAGGGAGCTTAAATTGCACTCTGCTGCAACTTCACATGTCTGCATCACATATTGTACAGCAAGCCCCTTAATCGCAGAGACTAGCCTTAGGAAGGTAGAACATTAAAGGTATTGACGCCCCCTTGGAAACTGTGTCCTGTCGTCGACGTCGCATCTTTCTTTTTTCAGGATTCTTGTTAGCACTTCGGGATGGCGGCTTGCCGATGCTCGGTGTCCACAGCTTATGAATATGGTGTTAGATATTCATCCCCGAGGGCTAGGGTTTCAATGACCGAAAGTTGCCTGCCATGTTAACACATAGAGTTGTACTCCTACATAAAAACCTTGACACTTGTCTCTGGACCATGCAAGCTAGGGATGGGAATAAACCCAGAGATACCCCGAAGGATCTGTCCTTGCATTTACCTCTCAAAATTTGCGCTGATGACATTCTACCTCTCCGAATGCTACTCTCGATCTATAGCCCAAACTGCTATCAGCCCAAGTGTCTTGGCATTCTATTGACTCTATCATTCGTTCAGATCTTGCGCTACAGTTACTATTCGTTGACCAGAAGACAGAATGATTTTTGTTTACCACGGCCTATATTCAAAAGTACGAAGTAGAGGTATTTCCAGATAAACGACTTATCTAGTTGACAGGACAGGTGTTGACCGCCATGTTTCAAGAATCCGAATCTATTATTTATTGCATTGTTCGTCTGGGCGATAATCCATTCACACAAGGGTCTACAATTCCATCAGAACTGAGGCTTGGAAAACAATTGTCGAAATTTGTTTTCGTGGGTGGTTACCAGTATCACCCGCCCATACGGATGAGGTCGGACGAATATGAGAGACTTCCCCAAACGATCCAATCAAATTAATAATTTCATCAAGTCCCCATCACATGGTAGCATGCCTTGGCAAGTATTTAAGGCTCTCACGTCAGCGGACTCGGTACCATTCCCTTGTACATTCAGCCTCGGGGATACAACTTATTTAGTTAGGGTATACTCCAAGCATTGCTTACTTCAACAATATGACATGTATCGGATATGAACATCTGCTTACAGCCAGTTTGTAACCATTCAACCAAAGTTGATTGGACAAAATTTACGCCATACCATTGATTTTTATTCCTTATTTCTGCCGTCTGCACGTGGCAGGTACCTTACCCTCGTATCCCTCAACAGCAGCAATGCTGCGGCTGTGAATTGTGAAAGGTCTGTGCGATGACATGCAGTCAGAAGTGACATCCTTAGTCTAGGGGGTCTCGCATTTCGTACGCTTTATCTTTGTTCAACCATTCAAGATCATCTAAAACTCGAAGACCAAGAAAAGTTGCCTAGTGGTCAAGCTCTTCCATGCAAGCCATTTTCTGATACAAGATACTATCAGCTATAAAATAAAGTTTAAAGCGTTGCAATCGAATCTTCCGATGTGCCAGACGCTAACAGACTGGGGTTGGGGAAGCCAAGACCATATAGCCGAATCGAAGGGTCATCGCCCCACACACATATTTAGAATGCTTGGGAGGCAAGGGAGGGTATTAAACGTGCTCTACAGGCTACAGCTATGGACCTTCAACCTATTGCAGTGAAATCCCTACAATAGTACCACCTACAGCACACATAGCGCTAACATCAGTCAATTTTACAGACATTGAAAAAAAAATCTCTGTCTACGACTACTGCATGAATGACGCGTAGGTATAGGTATGGCTGAATCAGCGCTCTGTTGTACAGTTACAATAGCTTCCTCTGAGTCGTTAGCCCGGCATGGAAAGTCCCCTTGTATATCCAGGCCCTTGTAGAAATGTAACATCTACTGAAATTTATGCAAGATTCCATTAAGCAATGGGCTTATAGGTCTGTACTATATGTTATGGGTGATGTTCGGCTCTTATTCCCTTTCAGGGTACCATTGGCAAGGTTTATCTCATGATGATCATTGCAATCAATGTTATAACAACAGATCTGCGGGAAAGTTTCTAAATGCCTCAAATTTCTGTATCCTTGCCAATGTGCCATCCTATCCCCAATGGAAGACTAAGGACATTCGTCTGTTCATGACAGATTCTTGCTGATATCAATATACCCAACCTACCAAATGCGCCTGTAGGGCCTGCAAAAATCCCAAAACCCATGCAATTTCCAAAAGTAAAAGTTTACAAAAGAATATGTACAGTGTGCATTTTCGAAAGTCCTCGACAAATTGAAAGTCGTGGTAGAAGTATTCCCGGGGTATTAAGCAACGTTACTAAAGACCTCCATCTTTACATTACTCCTGGACTCCACAAGCATGTTCACAATGGAGAACAAGGTATCCGGCTTCACATCCTCGAGTATCAACTTGTAATTATGTCCAGCCGGGACATCGGATACCGAGCTCATGGTCGGTGGCGTAGAAGCTATCGATTGTCGGTGGTCTGGTGCCGAGAATGCCTCGGCCAATGCTAAATCAAAGTTCATATCTTCACAGTAAAGCTGATCAATGTCTGCTTCCGTTTCACTGGTAAGACCGCCAACTGTTGGTATTCCCATGTTGTATCCCGAAGGTACCGAATTTTGGGCCAATGAAACTCCGGGTGACGAAGGTTCCGTAGATGAATAGGACATGTCATTGAATTGTAAAGGTGGTAGCCCATCAAAATTGAAAAGTGAGTGTGCATCGTTGTTGTAGTTGTTTTGGGACAGTTGCTGGGCAGTGAGCTGAAGTGGAAGTCCCGGGAGTGGCAATTGCCCCATCAAAGAGTTCTCGGTTTCGTATTCCATCACATTGTCAGGTGATGAATCTGTGTGCAAAACTTGGTCGAGTCTTTCAGACTTGGGAAAGTCGAAACCGTTGCGTTCTCGTACTGGAGTACACTGAGTTGTAGATGCTTTCCGTCGTTTCAATCGGCCCTTTCGTTCCATAATAACGTATCTAAATCCATCAAAAGAATCAGTAATCGTTGTGTTGAAATCTCGAAAATTTGAAGGGCTCCTCTAACCTGTTCTTTATATCTGTTGGTGAGCGGTTTGGGAACTCTTTCTCACTTATGCTCTTCCAACTCCTTCCGTGTACGTGGACAGCCTCTAAGAGTCGGGCTTCCTCATCACTATCCCAATCCTCATGACTGATATTTGGATCGAGAAAATGATACCATCTCTTAGCGCATTCTTTTCACATGTTAGATTAGCATATGAATGATTCCAAATCCAAAGGAGCTTGGAAAAATACTCACGGTCTGCATGCCTTGTCTGTACTATTTCGGCAACCATAGTCCAACTATGAGAAAATTTTAGCTTCAATGAAGCATCGCTTTTGTGCTTCGGGTGTACATACTAAGTGCCATGTTGCTCTACTCCTCTCCTCAGTCGGCCGTCTTCTTCATGATCCCATAGTCCTTTGTTGACCTCCTTTCCCACTTTGCTCCATCTCTTCCGGCAATCCTTATTTGTCCTACCCCGGACTTTTGACGCGATCAAATTCCAATCGTTCACAATTCCCCTTTCCTTGACTATTTGTTAAGACAATTAGAATCAGTTGAGCGTTTATTTGGATTGCCAAGAGCATTTTAAATGCAAGGAGAATGACTTTAAAGAAAACCGGTGGCAATTACATTGCAGTGTAGCTTCTTTGCGCAAGATCTGGTCCTCGTTGTCCGTCCAGTACTTACGAACCCGTGATGGAGATGGTGCTATAATATCCATTGATACCAACAGGAGAATAACAAGATCCGCAATTAAATTTGGTGTGTGGCACGAATGCAAGTTACATATAAGTTTTGAGTGCGGTTAAAGATATAACTATCAGATGAAGGAAGGGTTCTATCAATTATCGGGCCCGGGATCAAAAGCGTCTTACAATGAGATGTGCGCGCCGCTATCATGCATGGTAAGCCGTCCCGGGGGGGCTGGACGAACCTGCAGTGACACACTCGCTTTTTGAGGATTTGATCATCGGAATTTGACTTTATCGTATCTAAAATGGCATTGTAACTTCGTGGCTTTAACGGTTGTCTTGCGTGCAGCGGGCTGTGCCGAGAGCTTGTGTCATTGATGCCACCGAAATCCGTGTTATTGAGATATTTTGAGCGGAAATCGACTTGGTATAGTTATGATTGGGAGAATTACGAAGAAAGTTTGTTGAGTAACTTGCTATTTCTTGGCGGTACCAATATATCAGAAACTTGCAAAGCTACTAATACAGTAAGCTCCACGTGCTATAGAGGCAATATATGGAGGCCGATTCTTGGTACCGGTATAAAGAACACTTCGGTTTACAGATCCCAATTATTGGGTACTGTGTATACGATTACGTGAAGCTTAGTCGCAAACTACTTTACTATCCTGACAACTGTGCAATGACCATCCTTGGAACTACCAGGGAATGAAATCGTTACAGGACAAGTCCCACTTGAGATTCTGTTACGCGCACAATCACCAAGTTCCCCAACTATTTGTGGTTAGGATATGGGGTTATTCGTAGCCTTGTTTCCATGCCAAATTGAAAGGATCATGAAGGATTTGTGCGGCGAAACGTGCATGCACAGGTCGATATGTACAAGTTCTGCACGGTTCACACATTATATAGGGAGATGATTCGTTGTGGGCAATCGCTAGGTACGAATCATGGCCACGTCGATAATCAGATAAGTACCAATGTGTTCAACGGTATCTTATCCTTGCTCGCTTAATCTGTTTAATCGTTCCCCCCATATTTTACGTGGGGTTTTTGCAGCTAGCCACTCGCGTTCATTTACTAACTGCCTGATAGAAGACCCTTGCCCGGACCCGAGTACAGCTTTGTTCCTATTGAAGGAAAGTTTTCACAACTTAAAATCACAACTATGTACCTTCTAAGTATATCAGCATGTTGACATGGAGTTGAATCCCTGTTATACCCGGTACTTTTTGGGGGTAATCAGTTTAGCGGGGCATCTCATGAAGCATACCCGTCAAATTAGCCGCTATTAGCCTTTCGATCAGAACGTTCCAATCCATGGGGGTACGATCCTCCCGAGGTAGTAATTTTCCCTGAGCGTCAAATATTCACCTTCAAATATCCTCCACGTCCTTCGCCTATTTCGTTTTGCAATTGCGTGGCATAAACCCTACATCCAATGGTTCCTCTCGCGTGGCCACCTTGGCTGTCACATCAGTCTTGGTGACCCCTAAAATGGATGGAATTCCCGGAGGCCAAGCTTTAAGATTTAAGACTTCTGGATTCGGAACACCCATGAAGATGGTCCAAATAATACATCAAGCTTGTATCAAAACTCTATTGGCAATGAGCATGCAACTCTGCCGTCGCGTAGCTTTTCGTTCCGAGTGCAATCGAACTTAATGGCTCAGGTGACCTTCTCAGCCCGCAAAATATTCTTGATGGAAATGGAGGGAAAAGGGATCTCAACCGGAATCGGGCCGCCACTTGATCCTCGCTATGCCGAGATTTTGACCTCCATGATCACGACACGGTCCCTTCGCAAGATCTGTCTCCGAGATTACAATCCGCTTGTTGACGTGATAGAACTATAAGCAATCTATCGTATTGTTAGCGTGATAATAGGTGGATCGCGGGCGTTGCGGACATTGCGGATTTCCGCAAGCCGCCGGCCTCGCGCTTTTCTGATCCGTATCACACCCGTTCTCGCTCAAGCTTCAAAGATAACTGATTTGATGCGCAATCCTATCCAGCCTCTTTCGCATCCAGATTCCTTCCACTTTGTAGAAGGGAATATTACTGAGATCATTCGGTCACAATTCTATTGATAAGAAATTGGGTGGACCAAAGTGTTTGATGCTTGATGTTGACCCTGTTATTCGTGGGCTTCTCTTCTAGGGATCCGTGGTACCCATCTATTGCCATAGACTTATCTCTGAGATCACGACCCTGATTTTCTCTTCATGTGGATTTGCTGCAATGCTTGAGATTTGTCTACTAGGATGTCCCCAGATTTTCGATTACTCAAGATACAACATGTTGGTTTCTTTGTTTCTTTCCTGGATTGTCAGGATCATCCTTGCTGTTATTTACCATAAGCTTTTGACTAAGGATCTTCTTGATAACCATCGGACACCGGATTCTTTTCCCATCTCAACGCCCGCAAGCCACAATACCACAAGATATAGGGCAGCACATGCGATATTGAGCAGGGAAAACAGTTTCAGGGTTTCCGGCAACCGATAGGTCAAATCACAATTGAGAGTCATGCAATTCAAGCGCTACATGCTATATGACTCTTTTTACAGCCTGACAATCTCATGGGTCAAATTTGCGCTGTATCACGTTGTATGTGTGCATCGAGACGGCAACCACGTGTTTGTTAGGGAAAGTGGTAACAACTCTATCTACGATATTTCTCTTGGCATTGAGCTTGTATATATGCTAGTATTAACACATTACCATTACATTACCAAAAGAGCCTCTTTGTGTCTAAATACATGATTACGCCATCATCACTCTCACCGCATTCAATCAACTTTATTCTTACTTCCTCCACATCCGAGGCTGCCTGCATCACAAGAAACTCCGTCCTTTCTTATCCAACATGAGTGAATCATTCCGCCGATAATTGCGTAGAGCAATCAATTTCTCATTCCGAGATTCATTTGAATTACGCTCGCTCCAGATATCATCAGTTATCTCCAGGATGCAAAGCGACAGTCTAGACATCACTAGCTACCCTGTTTAGACGTCTGCAGTCATCTCGGCCAATGTATCCTCATGTAAGTTGTTCCATCGTCTTCCCGAATCTAAGAAATAAAGATCTTTATAGGCGGTTGACTCTTTACCTCAACGTTCTGTGCAGTGTAGATCATTAATTCTGATGTCGATTTGGTGGTATGAATTACTCCCCGTGACTTTCTCTTATAAGATACACCCCGCGAACCGCAATTAGTAAGCTGATTCTCCTGTAGATATTCTCCCGTCAGCCGTATTGCTCCTTCTATACTGCAGCTAGTTCTAGGATTCTGGGACCCGAGTAAAGTTCTTGCTCGGGTCCCCTTCAGCCTGCCTCATTGCTTACATTGGTTGGCACGACAATGAAGTTGCCGCCGACGGAAAGGAAGGACGTAATGGGCTTATAAAGACCCATAAAGACCCTGTAAGCACTATGTTTGCTGAAGAAACCTACGGTTGAAGATAAGTCCCTGCATTTAGCTTGCGTTTCTGATATTTCTGTGGGTATTCCCGGGCTGAACCTGCTTCGTTGAGAATATGCAAATATTCGGATTTTTGCATGCATGAAGTTGAGCTGCATGAGATAAGGCCTAGGGCTATTGACGTGAATAATCCCACCTCCCAGAAATAGTCTTAAATTTGAAGGATGCCGAGACAAATTGGCTTTCATGGTTTTTACCGGTCCGACATGAGGTTATTCGGCTTTTCAACGGTGAACGATCTCGGGTAAGCCAACTGTTGGCTCTTCTTCTTATCGGAAATTTCGGAGGGAGGCCACCGAAGCTCATGTTGGGCAGGCAGCAATCTGGTAGATTAGCAATCTGGTCGCTGCCTAACAAGATAACAAGGTTACATGCACGTGTTTTCTTTCTTGAGAATCTTGTTACTGTCGATCATTCGAAATTGGAGAGGAGGAAAGTTTAGGTTCCTTAACACAGCCGAGCGTTAAAGAATCACCATCTAACCCTGCTGTCTAGTTGTATCAATTCAGCTGCCATCTTTGCAAAACGATGCTGCCACATGATTCATATAAACGAAATGCACAACATCAGTGCCACCCGCCATGATTATATGCTACAGTGCGACTCTAGTCGCTTGAGATTGAGATCAACATCAAAGGTCTTCCAGCATCGAGAGTGTTCCAGAAGTGAAGATCGGCTCAAGCTTGTCTCATCCAAATAACTTAACACATCTTACCAAATAGTATCACAATTTTTGCCACGCAACATATCCACGAAGCAAGCGAGAATTATTCGCAATTCTCCCAGGGGACTTTCCGGAAAATCTTCTACATATACTAAAAATTCCAATTGGTAGCGTGAATGGACCTACAATCCAAGATTCCCACGATTGAAGATTGGAGATTAGAATGCAGATCATGAATACTATGATCTTCGCTAACACCTACTTTTTCTCTGCGGTTTGTGCTCCAGTGAGCATGCTTTAAGTGTGTGCAAAAGAGTTTTGATTGTCAGACGAAAGATGAGCCTTGAAGCCTATCAAATTTTGGCTGGAGTCTTGAAATGAAGCTTGTGGCTGGCTAAAACCAAGGTTTAAGGTAAGGTTTTGATCTTCGATTTGAAGTTTGAGAAAGGGGTGTTTCCATCTTGTGTGTTTCATACAGTGCTGAAATTCACGGTACTGCTACCACAGCGTTAGTCACAAAGCTGCGAGTCTGGCCCGTGTCGGAGAATTCTTCCTGTCATAAAAGTAATTTGATAAAGCTGAAGTCTTCGATCGTGCGAATGTTTTTAGGAAGTTTCACATCTGACCTCATAATCCCTAGACTCTAACGAATCTTCTTTGGAGTCGGGATTTAGGTTTTAATCTACGGGGTTTGAGATTATGTAGTGATCTCAGAAACTTGACTCCAATTTATCAATTGGGGGCTGGAATTGAATGGCTTAATCAGCTGGACGAGTCCTCCATTAGCCACATCAGTTTGACTGCCATCTTCTCGTGAATATTCTTCTCTAGCCTGGTTCTCACGGCCATGTACTCAATATTGCAACACCCGTATTCCACGAATCTTCTCAGTCCATTTCCTCATTATGTCTCAACTGACATTCTCTTCTCACCGTTGTACAAGGTTCTCTCCACCCCACCCAAAAAGATGCAGATTACCGAGAGATGTCGTGCAAGCCTAACCAGTCTCCACTCTGTACACCTCCACCAAACTTCCACTCCGCACCGAATTCTCCAACAATCAATTCTAGGTCTATCAAATCTTCCAGCTGAAAGCCCTTTCAATAACTCTATCCTCCACAGTTTTTTCTCAAATCAAGAATGCCAAGACCAATGACCATTATATTTCCAGCTTTTCCCATGTCTCTCATGTCTCCCCAAATGCTTCGCACTAGCTACCAACTTGATGTACCAGAAATACAAAGTTCCACAAAGGTATAATAAAAGCTTCAATATTTCGGCAACACCGACGAAAAATCTTCGTTCTTGCGGTACTCGACAGGTGCAATTGAGTTATTGCTCGTTGATCACCGAGCAAGAAGGTACCAAAATTGAAAATATGAGGGCCGATTATGTTAATTCCTCATACCGAGGTACTGAATTTGAACATTGCACTGAGTATTTAGAAAGACTTTGAGTTTGAAAATATTTTTATTTAAAGGTTCGTTGGTACCTGGATGGAAAATAAAGAAATACATCATCGTCATTTTACTACACGTCAGCAAGGTCTTATCTGAGTCATCTACATTGCAATTTCAATACATTCAATCAAGCTAAAATGCGTCCCATCTCACTCATCACAGCTGTTACTCTTCCCCTCGCTTTTGCGGCGCCCGTCCCTGATCAAGGTAGCTTACCACCTCGCCTCAGCTCTAACAATAGATGTAATAAATTGCTCATATCACTATAGATACCACTCCCCAGATTGTTCCCATCCCTCCTCCTGCCGTAATCCAGGCTCTCATTGATGCTGGCCTTGGCCAATTCGCAACTCCCGCCGACATAGCATACATCAATGGCGCTATAGCTGCCGCGGAAGCTGCTGCCGCTGCCACGCAGAAAGCTGGTGGCTCTAGCAAGAGACAGGATTTAGGGTTAGGATCATTGACCGGTGCACTAGAGCCCATTCTTGGTATACTCGGTGGTTTAGGGCTAGGGGGCTTGAAAGAACGAGATGGGATTGTGAAGAGACAGGATTTAGCCGGAGAATTAAGTCCTCTTCTTAGTATACTCGGAGGCTTAGGGCTAGGAGGGTTGAAAGAACGAGATGAGATTGTGAAGAGACAGAGTCTTCCTGTTCTTGGAAATGTCGTTGGGGGTGTTCCGGGTACTGCAACTGGGACGGGGATTACGAATAATTTACCAATTGTAGGACCCGTTGTGGGAGGAATTTTGCAGAATCCGACTTCTGTCGTTACTTCTGTATTAGGAGGTGGACTCAAAGAGAAAGCCAAGAGACAACAAGAAGGTATATCTTGATTTATATTCGGGAGCGTGAATTCCCATTTGAACCCCCCTCTTTACTGATGCAAGAGCTAATTGGCGATTCAGTTGCTGCTGCTATGAAAGAATAGAATGATATTGGAATATGAGCTATTAGGGGATCTAGAAGGAAAGGAGGAAATTGTTAGGCGTTGGAATGATGCACATGGAAGGGATTGATGGCTATGGGTGGAAGATTCTTTGAATTGTGTTTGAGCTGCAACGCGACCCTGACTGCTAGATTTGATTTTGCTGTTCTAGCTATTTACAGTCTTTAAGCCAAAATATTCAATGCAAGCTCTCGTTTTCAGGCTCTCTCAGATATCTCATATTTCTTCTAGAAGTCTATAAGTATGGATAAGAACAACAGTACCCGTTATATGCATTAAAATGAAGCTTTATCTTGCTACTAACCCATCAGTTTGAGATTTGCACAGCTCAAATCTTCAGATCGCATCATTTTCCATTGTAACATGAAATCTGACCGAGGTAAGCACGTCAAATTACGGTTTCACGGTTTCGCAATGATGCAAAAAGGACTGAAAATCGAGAGAGTATGTGCTTCATTTTTTTGACCACCAGACAAAACTATGGACATAAAGATACCACACTACAAAACACCAAACCAATACCATGCCCCTCCCACGAAAGAGAGCCGTCGCTCAAAGCTGGGGAGTGCAGCCCCCTTATTCATAATCTCATCAAATCATCCAAATACCACCATTTTCTTTTAGCGAAAGACAATAAGGTAAGTCCATCCCTCCAGACCAATCAAATTCTAGGGGTCCAACCAATATTTCATCGCAAATCATATGAGCAAGGGAATGCAGGCTCAAGATTAGATCAAACAATCGTTATTTAAACGTAAGTGCAAGTGACACCAGTGCTTCCAACAAGAGCACAGTTTGTGAGGACCTTGGTTTGCTCAAGATCGATGATGGTAGCACCGGTAACACCGACGGTAGTTCCGGACTTGACGGCAGAAGCAGCAGTGAAGGTAACGCTACCGAAATCGGCAAAGGTGACGAGGGAGTTGCCCTCCTCGAAGTCCTCAACGATCCACTCGGCATTGTACTCGCAGAGACTTCCGTCAACACCACCGGTGAAGGTGTGAGAAACAGTAGTACCCTTGGTAACGTTGTCGACAATGGCGGTACCAGCAGTCTTAGAGGTGGCGGTAACAGTGACCTTGATGGTGTCACCAGCGGAGATGGAGATACCGCTGAAGTCGTATGCGTAATCTGGGTACCACTCATACCAAGCATCATAAGTGATGGAAGAGCCAGACTTGGTCCAGTCAATACCAGTTTGGAGAATGGCAGTACCACAGGTGTCACCATCAATACCAACCCATGCGGATCCGGATCCAGCAGTGGATGGGGATGGGGCAACAAAGGTACCGGTCACGGAAGTGTAACCAGTACCGACGAGGACGGCACCAGCCCAGTTGGAGGAGTAGGAAACATCGGTCTTGTTGGTAACTTCGGAAGATGGTCCTTGAACGTACTTGACTGGGTTACCGTGGGTGCCAGCAGCGCGCTTAACGGCACGTGCTTGTCTCAAAGCGGTACCTGGGGCAGCAACGGCAGATCCGGCCAAGAAGGCGGTAGCGGCGACGGTGGAGAACTTCATTTTGATTGATTGATTGAATTGATTTTCGAACGAACGAACAATTGATTGATTGATTGGATTGGATTGGCTGTGAGGACTGTGTAACGATTGGAGCTGGACTGGAGAGAAAAAGACATTATCCAGCGGATGAAGACATGATATATATACGACTGAGAATTACTGACTCTGCACACCAAGCTCAACTCCAATTCAACCCAGGCCTCAATCTACCTTCCCAAATGATCAGAATGTGTTGTTATCACGAAAACATGGGGACGTCGATATCTCAATTGGGACTTCTTCACCGGCACTTTGCATGGAAGGTCAGATAGCTGCCAATGAGGCCATTCCACTACGAATGCCGACGCCTAAGTTTGACCAGGGCAATATCCATATAGACCCATATAGATCAACTTGATCACCTTCCTCATTAACCCTCAAGCCTGTTAAACATCATTCATCTTAACTGAAGATCATCGTCGATTCTCTTCAATCATTTCCATAAAAAGGAGGTCCTCTAATTTCTTATCTAAGAAACCTTGTTTTGGCGCCTATGTATACTGTGTGTTCAACGGGCACAGGAACAGAACGGCGACATGAGCGGCTGTCTTCAAATGATCCACCAATCAAAGTAATCATGTGGTGTGGAGATGGAAAGAACCTTATCTTAGATCAATGTTGTAACGAACATACCCCTCTATAATCTCCGCTTGAGCCACATATTGATCATGGTTTCCATATATCTTGCATCTTATAGTAAGGGAAGCAGCGCAACTTTTTGCGAAATATGGAAGGTAAATTATGCAAGACAATTTCTGATAGGCAAGTTGACCCCAAGGTTGCATTCCTGTGAGGATATGGATGGGGATGGATGGGGATGGATGTCGTTCAATGGAGACATGGATGCATGTCAGAATCCAATCGGCGGTTCAGGATCCTTGTCGATCATTGCTATCGTTCACATGAAGGGATTATCTACCTATCGCAACCACCTAGAGAGAACCTCAGAAATTGCAGAAAGATACGAAGGACACAGTAGGGTCAGGAAACAACAAGGAGTATCTCCAAATCAACAAGGAATCTTCAAAAATGCCGAGGAATACCGTACCTATCCATTGTCAAAAATAAGCTTTACAAGGAGAATACAACACAAGAACAAGCCTTTATGGGGCTACCCAAGAACTAGCTTCCCGTCTCGGCAGCGCACGCCGCGCCGGCTCCATTATCGGCTACGAATGCTTGTCAATACACGAATCGTGTAACCCTAACTTACCATTTCTGTTCGAAAGCGACCTATCTCGTGCTATCTCGAAATATCTTCAGGAAGAAACGCAATCATCACGCGAATAATCTGTGGATGAATCAAGGCAGATTCCTCGGACTTCACGAGATAGGATTTGTGTTACGAAACAACCTTCCTGATATGGTTACGGATTGCATTCATTTCTTTTGAGTCTCGCAACTTATCATGTGAGGATCCGAATGTGACCGTCCTGAATCGCAAAATTTTGATTCTTTCGATATCCGGAGAATTCATTAGAAGCTGATATGAGCGCCAAGATAAGCTATGCGGCTTTACTTGGCATGGGAATAATGAAGATGACGAAGCTTTACTTGGCGATGCCAACCGATGCCAACCTACTTGGCCTACTTGGCTGCAATGTCGAAGGCTTTTTGTTGACGAACTTCTAAGTGAATGCCCCGTGGCAGGCGGATGGGTAGGCTGATTGAACAGTGTGGTAGACTCAATTCATCCGGTTCGCGCAAACTTCAAAGATATCGGATGGATACTGGCTAAATGCAATCCTTGTCTGTTCCTGAAAATCAAGCTGTTTGATTTGATACCCCATCTTTCGAAAGTTGTGGAACTTTCGTGTTAAAGAAATTGTTACGTGAGGCGGCATTTGCCATTTCAATATCAGATCTCAAATTCTCTTGTTATGGTTGTCAGAACTTCAAACCTAATATTGATTCCGGAGAGCTCTCCGAGCATCTACAATTTCCATGAAGTGTTTGATGAGTCAAGGATTTCTCTTCCTCTATCGACTCTGTCTGCCTCGGGATACAGAAACTTATACACATATTCACCTATACACCATTATGAATGGTTGTTTCCTCCTTTGCACACTCAAAAATCACTTTTCTTATTCTACTCGACTGATCGAGATACTAGAATGAATGCTAAATTTCATAGATTATGTCTCACCAATCTCTTATTGGCCAACCTCTCATTTAAATCGAACAGAGCATCCGATCATATCGCCCTGTTCTTTAATACTCTTTGATATGGCGGCAACAACAACATAGTAACCAGAGGAGAGAGGGATGTCCGAATATCTTGCTCCTCTTTGGTTGAATGCCAGAGTTGGAGAAGAAAGCTATATGCAACTTCAAAACAGCCGCGAGGAATAGAGATGAGATCGGCTGTGGCGGTAACTTGACTGATGTCTGATTATGCCGATTGTCTATCTTGTCGTCCCTTGAACTCGTACCTTTTTTCATCTCAACGACTTGGCCCAATTCTTCTCTTGTATAGAAAATCAAAGGTTCAGAACGAAAGAACATCATAAGGTGCGACTTGGGTGATATCCTCCAGATAGCGTATTCCCATTTCGAAATTCCCCTTCACTTCTGGTACTTACTTTGATGTACTCTCCCTCTACGCTTGAGCCTGGATAAGTAGAAATCGCAGGGAGCTTTATCAGCGTCAGGATCAACCTCACATAGGTACCTAGGTAGTGAAAGTTACTGAATGGCCTGCTTGATCTTTTGAAGGCCACGCAATCAGTGGCAACATTAATTAATATAACCTCTATCTGTAAAAACCATCCGGAATAATAAGTCCTATCATGTTATCTACCAAATTGCTATCAAAATATAAGATCGAGATAGAAGTGTTTTTAAAGATTCTGATTTTGGTGGTTGTGCGTCCCAGTTTTTCCGTCCACCCCGAGCCTAGTTGCTTACCCCCGCTCTTTTGTAACCTCCCCTGCTATCTACAAGGAAATCTGTGTCTATCATCACATACTCGTACAGGCCCGCAATAGGTATGGATATAGATTGTGGCGCGCCACTAGAGCAAGCTATCTTCATCAGCGTGTCGTGTCTCCGTGCATGCATATTCACAATCAAGTAGTTCAGAAGAGAATTATAGACGATAGGAGTTTTCACTAAGATACCGACTCGTAACATCTGATATTTCAATAAAAGTCGTCTATCGTGAACTATCGATGACACAAAACGGTAGGAACTTCCGGCATATCATTCACTGAAACCCATCTCTGACGCCCTGCCCTATCTGCTCCGTGCTTCAACAGTAATTCCACCACACTCCCGTTTGGGTTATTAGTACTGGCCCAATATAAAGGGGCTTCCCCCAAAACGTTGGGAGTATTCGGATTCGCACCTCTCTCGAGCAAGAGCTTTGCCACTTCATAATGATCTCTGTAACAGGCGACATGTAAAGCAGTCGCATGTGCTCGTCCTCCAAGTGCATCAATATCGATACCTGTCTCCGTATCCAATATGATGCGCACAATATCTGCAAGTCCAAAAGACGCTACGTAGTAAAGAGGATGTGTTCTCAAAATATACGAATCCTTTGCAGGAGCAGATGGCATCATCATACCAAGCCAGAAAGCAAAGTTGCCACCGTGCTCGAGATTGTGAGTTTCGAAGAAAGCATGGAGGAGTTTCCGAGTACGTGGTGCAAGATAATCATCGGGATCGCCAGGTTCTTTGTTGACATATCGTGGCCAGTTTATGGTGAGGTGACGAAGAAAGGGATATTTTCGATAGCGACTATTGAGTAATTCTCGTTCATGACCTTGGGAAAACTCGGGATTGAGTAGGTATGCCAGGCAAGCTTGAGCCATAAATTGACGCGCTGTATATTGAGTGTAGTGGAACGGTGAGGTTGTCGAGTGAGTGAGATAATCCGCTACAGATGCATGTGCGAGTTTCACGCCAGGCGAACTATATCTGGAATCCTGTTTCGTCGAGTTTCTTTTCCATCTATCCTTAAACTCTTCGTCTTGTCCTGATCTTGGTTCAAATTTGGTCACGAGAGACGAGCATATAGAAAGAACTATTTCGGGATTGAGAAGTCGGGAATCCTCGTCAAAGCATGGTAGATCCGAATCGAAATCTATGGCTAGAATTTCCACCAACTCCTCGACATTCAAGGGCTTTGCAGCTACGGTGAGAGCTTGAAGAATCTTCGAAACTTCCGATCGATGGTCAACATCAATTTGCTGCAATATTCGCTCATAAGTCTCGTCCAGACTTTTGGGTAATGTTTTCATCGCTTTCCGTATCGCTGACACGCTGGTGCATTTTCGAAACATATCTAATTGGCAGACTACCCATCGGAACCTATATTATCGTCAAAATAAATCCTTCAAATCTTCAGAGAAGGGCCCTGGGTACTTACATGCCATCTCCCTCTTGAGTCAACTTGAATTCAATCTGGTCTCGAATATCTTGCGGCCATTTCGACATTATTTTATCATGCTCTATTTTCTCGAAGATGAAATATCTAATATCGCTTCTTGCTGACATGTTATCTTGCAAACACATTCGGCCACTGACCAAAGGAGATAGAACCTCTTCTATCTCGGTTAATTGTCTACTAGTAACCAGCAAGCGCAATCTTTGATACTTCCATGCTTTAATAGTAGAAATGAATGATAGGACTTCTGTATTTCTAGCCGCCTCATCTAGTGCATCAAAAACTATGTAGACATGATGGAATGATAATAGAATGCTACGAAAGCATTCAAGAAGCGCATCATCTGTTGGCGATGTCGACGTTTTTGTGCTTAACTCCTCGTAAAGATTTGTCAATGGCCGAGGAATAACACCACTTTGTGCCGAGAGTTGAGCAATCAAGGATTTGAGAGCGCCATTCAAATCTCCATTGAAGTCGAAATAGAAGTATGCGAGTGCTATCTTAGGGTGTTGTTGAACTTGAGTCATCAAATGCTCTACGATTGTAGAACTAGTACATAATTATGAGTTATTAATAGTCCAAGTATACTTCAGAATGTTTGTTACCATAGTACAGTCTTCCCACTACCAGCTGATATCGAGAAATCAGTCAAAAACTTTACTCAAGGTCATTCAACTTACGAATTCCATAAAGCCATAGAAAGGCATCATTACCAAGATACCAATCCTCGTATTGCTTACTTGTTATGAACCATGTTCCAGTATTTGGTTGATGTTTCTTTAACGTTGCGGAATGAGTAACAAATGGGTCTGGCGCAGCAAGCCATCGATAAATATCTCGAGCCGTTTGGTCTGTACGATGTGTCAATTTCGATCATTTTCTCCAACATTTTGGACTGTATTCCAGAAAGAAGAAATTGCTGAAGCGATCTTCACATGACACCTCTCGGTCATGGCCACGAACATGGCTTTCTGACATCTAGGTCCGCCCACACTCTCAACAGCTCTTGAATCTAAGCCGTAGACGAGATTTGTAAATTCTCAAACCAGATTCTTACCTGCAAATTGATTTTCAATCCTATTCGTAAGATTTAAGGCCAGAGTCCTACCATCTCATAAGCACTTCGATTCCCCAAACAATACTTCAAACTCACGTCTGATCAGCACTCAGTCCCAAAGCCAACGTACTCTTCAACCTCTCTAGCACTACCAGAGTCTTCCCCACCTCACCCTCTTTCAACGGCCAAACCAATCTCTCCTTAATTGCCCTCCATCCCTCACTCCCACCCACCCCTCCTTTCTCCAGCTTTCCCTTCAACTTCTCCAACTCATTTTTACACACGAAAAGCGGCCCATCATCCTTTAACAACAATTCAAATGTCGATAGCTGGGAGAAACCATTTGTTTCAGCCTTCTCAGCAAGCTTAAGCAACGAATCCAGAATATCTCTCAAGCTATTCAATTCATCTGAAATCTGCACGATTTCCTTCGAAGAATGTTTAACGCCTTGACGATAATCATAGCAGAAAGATATCAAGGATCCGGTTATCTGAAGGACGGCTATCAGACTGGCGGATACACTTAAGGGATCCATTACTGAGGAGTGACTTGTCTTCAGGGTATGTTTCACATACGATATAGGAAGCGAAATTGGTATACTTACTCTTGCTTGCTTACCCACAGAATCGAATAATATAATTTGTGTGTTAAGCCAAGGATCTGCTGAGGATTTTCAGCTCTTCCTATTGGGATACGCAGTACGTACGTGCATGCATGAACTGCGCACTCGATATGCATGCTGAAAAATACGCGTGCTGATATATTCGAATCATGGTTCTTTACCCGCATCCACCCACAGATTCAATCACTCACCTATCTCTGACAGTGTATCTTCTCTTTCTTGTCCACCAGTCTCAACAATTAGACGACTAGTATTTGTGTTTTAGTAGTAAAATCTATCGATGCCATGATTGAATACCTAGGTGCATCCTCTTTACTAGAAGATCACGAGCTGTAATTCATTCGACCGTGATTCTACCGAATACCAAGGGACTGAGGTTCTCGAAAAATACTCATTGCATTACAAGCACACCGTACCACATTGATGTCACAACAAGTACTAAACCTCAATTTATTTCTGAGAGTACGTATCAAATACTAATTGATGTATTGCTGTTTCAAAAACCAAGATAGCTAGCTAAATGCGCTCATCTCATCTCCCGAGAAGATTCTCATAATCGTTTTCCATAACTTCGAGAAACCTATGTGTTTATGTCCCCAAACGAGTTTGCCCTCCATACGCCGCAGTCATTATAAAATACACTTATCTATACATTAAGTCTGGCTCTCGATAAAACTCCGTGAAACGCCTCATATCTGAATTCCAGAGATGTAAATCCATATTTCCCTCACTTCTTTCCCTTTTCCGTGGCACTCTTTCCCTGAGTATCCTTCTCCATCGCTGCACTAACCTTTTCTAATTTCGTCTTTTGACGATCGTCGAGTGCATGAAACCATTCTCTCAATTCCTTCATATGTTTCTTTTCCCCATGACCATATTCAACAGGAGGTCCCCGGACTTCTATTTCTGTGCCCTCATCCTTGAACACTGCCCAGCTACTCTCTTCTTCAGATTTCAATGTGAAACCTCGGCCTTTGACTGATAAGACGCTGAAATCTCTCAGTAATATACCATCTCCAATTTCAGGTGTGGGAAGAGCATCTCTATATGGACGGAAGATTTTTACTTCCACTACGCCGGAAGGGCTATAGTTTGATCGGTAATGGTGAAGGTGCTAGTGTAGTGTCTCGGTCCCGACTTTGCTCTTTGAGGTTCAGTAGGTACACTCGTAGCGATTGCCAAAATATCCAGTTTAGAGTTCATTTTGAAACGAAGCATTTTGAGAGTTGTGTATTCACTCAAATCAGTACGAAGATATTTAGTCAGACGGAGTTTCGGATCGGTAGTTGCTGGTGCTCTTAGGTGATGGCCGGCTTTTGTAGGCGATTCGGGTAATCCGAGTATTGCCATTTCAGCGCTTGTATCTGGGCCTTTTGGTGTTTTCTCTTCGTCAAGAACTAGAGATGGTGACCTTCTAGAGCGATTGCTACCATGTGTAGATGGCCTCTCGTTCTCTTTGTTTGTCTTTGTTGGTGTAACAGGAGGAATAGCCTCCACAACTGACTCCAACTTCTTAGATCGTGTTTGTCTAGGACTTACAGTCGCTGATGCTTTCCTACTCCTCTTAGAATCAGGTGAAGGTGAAAGATCTTTGCTGGACCGGGTTTGTCTAGGGCTGACCGGGGTTGATTCTTTTTTGCTTTTCCTAGATTCAGGTGTAGATTCTTTGCGGCTACGGCTTCTAGAGGGAGGTAAAGAATTGAGAGGTGCTCGTCTGAATTTCTCCGACACAAAGGCCTCGGTTTCATCGGCGACAGCTTCAGTCTCCTCAATGGTTTGCTCGATATACTCTTCCATGACCTCAAAAGTCTCCAAGTCTTTCTCAAAAATGCTGTTTTCGGCCAATCTTGCAAGAGTCTGTTGAGTTTTGAACTCCGTCGTTTCGGCTTCCCTGACATTGATTTCGATTTGTTCGATCCCCGCCTCTCCCTCTCCAGATTCTTCATCTTCAACATCCGAAACGCCCTCCCTAAACACCTCATCCTCATCAATATCCGAAGCGCCCTCTCTGAATACCTCATCTTCGTCAACATCCGAAACTCCCTCTTCATATACTCCACCTTCATGCATCTCCAAATCTTTCTCCCCAGACTCCTCAACTTTATCAACAGTTAAGTCGATCTCTTCAAAATTTTCTGCTTTATTTGCCTCAGTATCATCTTCCTCCGCACTCCCGGCTGAATCTTCCTCGATAATCTCCTCGCTGACCTGCCTGACTTCGATTTCAGTAGTTTCGGATTCTTTGAGCTCAAGTATTTCTGTCTTAGTAAATTGAACCTCTATGTCTTCGGACTCGGGATCAACCATCTCGTCGTCTTCATCTATCGCGCTCGTGTCTGGAGCTACATCCAAAATCGTGTCAGGCTCCTCTTGAGAAGAATCTATGTCTTCATTCTCAAGTAAGTCCGGTGATGGATCCTTCTCGATGCCTGCATCAGTTTTCATCATATCTGTATCTTCATCCATCTCTCCCATCTCTTCTTGTAACTGAAGTTGAAGTAGATCTGACATCGACGTTAACGCGTCCTCATCATCGTCCCTATCAATATTCTCATCGATGTTCTGCTTTTGAGTATCGTCAGGTGTTGGAAGCTGATTATTCTGATGATCTGTGGTGGTATCAAGGGCATCAGTAGTGCTTTGGGACTGTGTCATTTGGTCTGATTCATCAATCAACTCTGATTCGTTTTTCAATTCAGTCGCTGGCACCGCAGGAGAGGAGATTAGATCTTTATTATCTTTGTCGCCTTCATCGCCCGTATCATTCGCATCACTGGTATCATTTGCATCGCTTGTATCGTTTGCGCCATCTATACCAAAAGTTCTTGAGAACAGGGTAGGCCCTTTAGGGACCTTGCCCAACCAGACTTGGCAGCTCGATCCTTAATACTTTGACCTGTGGAAGCAGGTACTGTTGAAACATTAGAATCCTCTAAAGTGATTGGTGATGGTAGGAAATGTTCGAGTGCAACACTCATAGTATTTGCATTGCCACCGGCCAGTGTAGGGCCAGGTACAATTTCGGTCGCTGTTCGTATATCGTCCGTCATTTCGATTGTTTCGGGTCCTTGCGAAGAAGTCTCCTCAGCAATTGCATCATTCGAATTTTGGTCAATATCCTCATTTTCCACATTCTCGACGCCGTTCTTGAAAATTTCATCATCACTCTGGGGTACATCACTGTTGGTATTTGCAGACCCCTGTTCCAGCTGCTTTTCAGAACCCACTTCCTCTAGCTTTTCGAGTAAGCCATCGAGATTGTCTGTATTATTTTCGACATCCATCTTGTCAATGGCAGCAGATGGATTGGTTACATTGGTCTCGATGTCCATAGGCTCAGTAGAATCTAGTTCGATAGCATTCTCATCCTCGAGATTGACTTGTGGTGGAGGTTGCTTTGCGCCCTCTGGCTCAAGCACGCTTTCATCTGCATCCATTTGCGCGTCAAGATCAGAGCCCAATATATTCAATACATTTTCGGGCATTTCTGCGTCGGGTTTGATGATGTCGATGCGGTCGTTGACTAGCGTTATTTCATTTGCCATTGGCTCGTCCTCATCTGACTCTTCTGAAGACTCCCTCACGAATTCTTTGGACTTTGTAGAACGGATGCTAACGTTTTGAACCTGTTCGCCAACAACATCCAGACTTTCATCTCCATCTTTCTCTTCTTCCTCTTCGTCGTCCTCTTCTTCCTCTCCGTTATCATCGTATTCCTGTGACTCTTCCCCCGATTCAAATTTCTCGTCAACCTTAAGACTGTTTCTGATTTGAGCAACTGGGGCTTCCGCTGGCTCCTCATCTTCATCGTCCGAGGACAAAAGATCTATTACTTCGGGGTGTTGCTGTACTGCCGCTTGATTACTTGTCTCATCCTCACTGTAGCTATCTCCGTCGTAATCTTCTTCACTGCCGTTTTCATAATCTTCGGGATAGTTGACTCTACCCATTGAATCCATATTCTCATCATTTTCGTCGAAGTAGCCCTGTCCATAGTCATCTGTTTCGTTCTGATCATCGTAAATAATTTCCTCGTCTTCATCTTCTTCCCTTGCATCATTGTAAAGACCTTGCTCGCCATGCTCCACTGGGGAAGCCGAGTTGGGCAGCTGCTGCTCACTATCATCTTCTACTTCAAGAAATCCCTCAGCATCTTCATCCTCATCACTACTCTCGGTCAAGTCTACAACTTTAGATGGGGGAGAGTGATGCGATTGATGGGTGTGACTGGATTGATGAGATTGGTCGCTTTGGGACCGAACCATAGATGTCGTGGAGGGTAGTTGACGGTATAAACCGGCAATTTGTTGATGACTGTCTCCGAGGTTGGGATAGGCCATGCTAGGCTGAGTTGTCCAATTGCTTGGTTCTGTGTAAGTCTGCTCTGGATCGGGATAGTTGTATTGATCCAGGCCCTCCTCCATCTCGGGGGCAACGAATTGGCCTTGTTCTTCTGGTATCTCTTCGTAAACACCGGCTGATATATAGGATTCTGGCCCAGGAGCATTGTACGGGACAAATAATTGATCAGCACCATCCTCAACCTCAATTTGACGTTGCTGGTGAGGAGGAAAGGTGTTCTGAGTATTTAGGGGGTCATATTGGTCCCCAGAAAGAATTGATGAGGTATTATAGGCAGTCTGGTCCGACTTCAACTGACCGTTCGAGTGATGCAGAGAACTGGCATCATACACGTTGTCTTCTTTTCTGTGACATGATATCAGTTTATCAGACTCCGCTGGAAGCGCATCTGGAGCAGTTGGTATTTCGAGATCTTGAGTATGTTCACTATGTATGTAGTTGTTGATCTTCTCAACTCGGGTTGTTACCAGTGGAGAGACTAAAGGAAGACCTTCTGATGGCAAAGGTCGTAGTTGTGGGGAAGAAGGTAACTTTTCATCTACTTTATCGGATGAGCTTTCCCGTGGCTCGAAGTCTGGAATGACAGAATCAGTCACTTTATGTGGAGGCGGCATTGGCTTTGTGTCCCCATCTTCGACCTGTGGTGTTCCCTGTAATGGAGCTTCTGCATGCAAAACCTCTACGATGTCATTTGCCTCCGCTTCCTCCGTGATTTTGGGCAAATCTTGGTCTAGTGTTTGCGTCGCTTCGGCGATTACCTCAGTTTCAACCTCTGTGGTTTGAACACCCTCATCCGTCATTGATGGCGCATGTTGGTCTACTGGCTCCTCAATTCCATTTTCAGAAGATGCTGCTACCGGTTCTTCGACCTCTGGACTGGGACTTGGTGACCTGCTCGTAAATCGCCATGATGTACTGAGTCTAGTTCTCTTTCTGCCTTTACCACGGACTGACCCATCTTCAACCTCAAATGGGTCGTAGCCTTCTTCGAACATTGAACCGTATGATATTCGCTCACGTTTCAGGAAAGCCGGAGAGGAGTACTCATCTGCATTCTGTGAAGCCACTTGCTTGAAAAATGAAACAGGCGTTGCTGGGATTTCTGGGATTTGGTTTTCGGTCTCTAGATCTGTCGCTGTGGTGGGCGGGGGCGGGGACGCATTTGTTTGAACAGCTTCGGGATCGGATTTCTCGATGCTGATAAGCTTGACATCTTGGGAATCTTCAGGGCGAAACTTCAAGAAGAATAATTAGAATATGGTACATGGAAATTAATTTTTTCTTCTTACCTGAAGTAACAGTTTATCCGTGAACTTCAATTCAAACTCCACACCCCTTCCAGGTGTCGCACTTGGAGCTTCAGTTCCCACATATTCCACTCCATCTAAACATAAGATCACTTCATCTCCGCTAGTGATACCAGACTTCGCAATAGCGTTCGCAGACGATCCTGAAAACTGTACGCGCACTTGACCTCTGATTCTGCGCAAGCGGAAATCGGGTTCGGCAAGTAAGAAAGCCACAGAGCCCGTACGGGAACTATATGGCCATGTGAGAGTCACTACCGCTTTGACTGATCTCGAAGCCGATGCTGGAAGTAATGGCGTAAGCTGCGCGATTGGGATATGCGTGGTTGAATCTAACTTTGACATTGTTGTGGAGTTTGGAATTCCATTTGCAGCTGCTGTTGTTTCTGCCATTGTAAAATGGAGAGTTTCTACTTTAGATGCTGATCATCGGGAAATAAGCATTTCCTTTCCGTAGTGACGTATCAATGAACCGTATCGAATCCTTATGCGTGAACAATTGTTTTGCTTTGAGTTTGTAGAGCGCGTTGGTGGATTCCTGCTGTGATGGGAGCTTTGCTAGCTTGGGATGGGATGGGCGTCATCGGAATATTTTTAAAGTTTTGCCGATGTGATAATCCCTGCTGAAGCACGTCTTGCTGGTAGCGGAGTGACGCAAAGAATAAAAAGGAACAATAGTCAGCCGCACCTTTACTCTTATATATAAATGAATTCACTCTCTCAATCTTTTTCTATGTAGGTGTCAAAAGAAAGTATTCCTTATCCTACAATACGATAAACATTAAATATTCTTAAACTTTTGATGTCCTTTTATCCATATATATTTCCGGTTCAAATTATTACATCAACATATATATTACCACAAGTCTGACAAGTGAAACTGAAGAGATATCCAAAATCATCTCGCATCTTCAAAATGAACTCCAGAATTCGAGCATCGTTCAATGTCAAGCGAATTGCAATTGTAGGTGCAGGTCCCTCTGGACTGGCCGCAGCAAAGTTTCTTCTGGCGGAACAGTACTTTGATAAGATCGATATCATCGAGCAGCAAGCTGAAGTGGGAGGTGTATGGAATTATACCCCAAATATAAGTGATAGTGTGCCCATCCCATCAACGTCGCCAAATGTATCTCCTGAAAAGCCAATTTGGCCAAAGGACGGAAACCCTCCAATTTTCTCAAACCCCATGTATGATCGTTTACACACAAATATTCCAAAGCCGTTAATGCGTTTCTCCGATCGACCATTTCGCTCCGACTCTCTGCTATTCCCTACACGCGAAGACGTTCAAGAATACCTTGTACACTACTCTGGTGATGTCAGACATCTGATTCGCTTCTCGGAGCAAGTCCAAGATATAAGGTTGGAGCCAGACAATGGTCATGATCGATGGCGAATCATTTCTAGATCTACAATTACCAACGACGAGATCAAAGAGACTTACGATGCCGTTGTTATTGCAAACGGTCACTATTCTGTCCCTTTTATACCTGATGTACCGGGGATTAAGGAGTTCAACTCGGCTCATCCATCCATCATATCACACTCCAAAATATTTCGTTCGCCCGATTCCTTTGTAGGTAAGAAAGTAATCGTGGTTGGAAGTGGAGCCTCGGGATTGGATATTGGAACACAAATCAGTAAGGTTTGTAAGAAGCCTCTCTTAAACTCAGTAAGAACTTCCTTTGACGAGGGAGGAGACGGAAAGGAAGAGGTTCCTCCCATTTCAGAATACCTTGCCGACATTAGAGGTGTGAGGTTTGATGATGGACGGATAGAAAAGGACGTCGATGCCGTGGTATACTGCACAGGGTACTTCTACTCTTATCCATTCCTCAATTCGTTGAAACCACCAGTTGTCACCACTGGTCGACGAGTGGTGGGCTCATACCAACATCTATTTGATATCCAACATCCAACTCTTGCATTTACCGCCTTGGCACAAAAAATCATCCCGTTCCCAATATCTGAAGTTCAAAGTGCAGCAGTCTCGAAAGTTTGGTCGAACAAGTTGGACTTGCCTAGTAAGGAAGAAATGAATTCATGGGAGCAGGAAAGGGTGGAAGAACATGGCAATGGCACGTCTTTCCACGTCTTTGGTTACCCTCACGACGCAAATTATATAAATAGTTTACACGACTGGGTGAAAAGTGCCAGAGGAGGATTCAGTAAGGAGCCAGCGTATTGGGATGAGGAGAAGTTGTGGATAAGAGAATTATATGCAGACATACGAAAGCGTTTTATTGAAGATGGCGAGAAAGCAAAGTCCCTGGAAGAGCTGGGTTATGATTTTGAGAAACGTAACGAATAGATGAGAAGATGGAGTTTACAGATAACAATAGAACAATGGTAGAAATAGATCAAATGTAAAGGGTTAGAGAAAGGGCATGTTCTTCAATTTGTGAAATTTATCGTATATTGACACTCATTGCCGCGCGCCCTTCTACACAACTAGTAGATACTTATAAACACATTTAAATGGTGAAGAGAGGCAAAGAACAAAGCATAGATAGAGATGTAATTTATATTTGACTGTAGACTTAACATGAGGTCAGCATTGAAAAGAGTTATGATCAATCCCGACAATTCAAAGCTTCCACCAAAAGATCAGTCTTTGCCAATGTCATCTCAAATTCAACACAGCAAACATGTATTCCGTAGAACATGGCGGTTGAATCGTATTACCAGAGTTGTGTTGTCCTCATATCATTCATTCCATTCAATACACATAGTTTTCCAAGTGAGCTTACCCTAGTGTTATCATCATAATTCATCCTCATCTTCCATGTCATCGCCCATTGCATCCTGTCTTTTCTAACAATCCATAGCGCGGAAGGTGTAGTATGTTTCCATCTTTAGGTCATCATCGTGTCATGGAAGCCGCACGAGGGGCCCTCGTGACGATGGTTTTGAAGTGGTAATATATTTCTTCTTGACCAAGTTATCGGAATCGGCAGTTGAGTAGTGAAAATATCAAACTGTCGATGATTTGAGTTAATGGTCTTGTTTGTTGAAGAAGAAAGAAAAAGAGACGAGAAAGGAAAAAAATCAAACAAAATATTTCTTACACTAGCGTTGTTCGCTAAATTCAACTTAGGCCCCGCGCTGCTCTAAGGCTCTAAGATTGATTCAGTTGCCGCGATACGTACATACATACTAGTACATAGTACTTTCTGGCTGTTCCTACATTTTCATCATTTTAATCATTACCCACCCTAAACTGCAAACTTATCGAAACCCTCAATTTATAAATCTGAAAACCTTCAATAACCCGTCACCTCACATCACATCACATCACATACAATACAATACAGTACAATACAAATACGATATTACCTCAAAAAATAAGAACCATCCTCGCCATATAACTGAATACCATCTGCGAATACCAACAACCCTTCACTCCCAAATCCAGCCCTCTGCGATATCCTTAACTTGTTACTTGGTTCAACAAAAATCACCCGATACCTCACTTGCTTGTACATTTCTATCTACAAGCATATCTCGAAATTTATCCAACGTCACAAACAGAAGCTCACAATATTGCCATCTCCGGAAGTTTGACATAAAGCGCATAGTTATCAGATTTTAAATTCATCCTTTCGTAATGGATAACCTGTGGAGTCGCCGTTCGAAGTAAGTATCTCCTTCTTCGTTCCCGCATTGTCGCTTTTCTTTGAGCGCTTCTAATCAAAGTGTGATGCAGTTCCAGCAAACTTTCGCTATCCACAGGCAATCCGACTACGAATGGATCAACTTTTGGTGGTGGCGACCACACAGCAAGGGGATTTGTCTTGGGAAGAAGACATGGAGACACTTCTTCGCACAGCACCAAAAATCCTTTCAATTCCATGTCCCCTTCGGCCTCATCTTTATCCTCCCCAACAACGGGCGCATCGAGCGCCTTTGGATTAGGATCAGGCGCTTTTGCATCATTTGGAAACTCGAAGGGCCCCAAAACTCCTGGAGGTGGAGGTGTGCTGGATTTTGGAAGTGTAGTGGGAGGATCTACCAAAACACCAACTGCGGAGAAAAATTATAGAGATTTGGGAACAAAGACATCTAAAACTTCCCTTACAGATTCTAAGACGGCTACAGCGCCAGCTTCACACCAATTTCGACATGGCTGGGTATTTTGGTACAGACCCCCAATCTCCAAGTCAAACGGATTTGTCGAATACGAAAAGACATTACATCCAATGGCAGCATTCAATTCGGCGGAGGAATTGTTTGACGTTTTCGATCATATGAGGCACCCCTCGAATCTGCCACTAGTTTCCGATTACCACATGTTTAAGAAGGGTATTCGTCCAGTTTGGGAGGATGACGAAAATAAAAAAGGAGGCAAATGGATTGTGAGACTCAAGAAGGGTGTGGCTGATCGTTATTGGGAAGATTTAGTCTTCGCCATGGCTGGAGATGAATTCGACCCCAGCGAAGAAGTTTGCGGGGTTGTACTCAGCGTGCGCAATGGAGAAGATATTTTGAGTATCTGGACCCGCTCAGGTGGCGGGAGGGTACTCAAAATTAGGTATTTAACACATTACCAAATGCTCAACGAATATACTAACAATTGAACAGGGAGACATTAAAGCGCGTTCTTTCATTCCCACCTGAAACTAAGGTAGAATGGAAGTCTCATGATTCTAGTATACAACAACGAACTGCTATCGACGAAGCTCGAAAGGAGAAGGCGGCCAATCATCACAATAATCGTAATGGCACCGAACACTCGGAGAAGAAATAAGCAATCACTATTTCAACATCTTATTGAGCTCCCTAGGCCACGAGTTTTCTTTTTCCTTACAGGAACTGTACAAGTATTTGGGTTGCATGAATTGGTAAAAGCGAAATGAATGAATGATTTATTTGGCTTAGGTGGCGATTTTTAACTTAAATGTCATTTTGGTTCTGATTCTTCTTCATACCTTTTGATTTTAAGGGAGCCTGTATCATAGTTTCGAAGAGTCTCTTGTTCGGTGACTCTTCTTGGCCTTGCCTTTTTTCAACTTCTGCTAGTTTAGGATTGCGGTAGCTACATTCAATGTGCTACCTACTACGCAGTGGATCTCACAGTGAGCAAAATATATTTCTATGAAAGAACATTAAAGGACTTGGAAAGGAAGTTTATTTGGACATCAGTAGCTGTGACGTATTTCATATTGCTTACTTTTGCGTGAAACTCTGACATTGGGGTTGAATTTATGAATTATGCTCATTTACCCTTACCTAGGTAGGTAGGTATGCATATGCATGCTTCTTCGCCTTACAAAATTCTTACCCCGGATTCTTATTGGAATTGTAAGATTACTTGCTACCTATCGTTTACTTGGGAGCAGTACATCAAGATTATGTATGTAGTACATGCAAATTCCTAGCGGTCTGAGATCCTGACGCTTCGACGTCTAATATGAAATATCTACTGATATAAATGGCATATGTTTCATCTAACTACTCGAAAATATGATTGCTACTTGTGATGTGATATGCTGATTCCCTATCATATCATACACTATTCACCATGCGCACTTCTTTGTCTTCTTTGCAGGTTTGTCGTGGGACTTGACATTGAATTTGTTCGTATACACATACATATATATATATCCGTACTATTGTGAGAGTGAGAGTGAGATTCTAATTTGTTTTATATGTGATATTGAGAATGGGATTACATACTAGTTATACTACTCATGTGGTTTTTGGTCTCAATGCCCCTTTTCTCAGATCATCCCTTATACATCCATCGCATATAAGCTATGCAAATACGATGGGTGAAGGAAGAGGAAACTTGTCAAAGAGAAGATTTCATATCATCTCCCTATTTCTTTAAACTCTCTCCCCCTTTCCCCCTTCCCTCCTTCACGATCTGCAGCGGATGTGAACATCTCGTAAGAGCTTGCTCGAGTAGAAAGAATCCTAGTATAAACATACTTTAGTATATATTTCCGGGGAGATTCGCTCTCGATCCTCTGCTTTGATTTCTATTCCGAAATGCTGACTTGACTCTGATTCCGAGTGTTTTGGTTTACGTTTACTTTGGACCTGGAATCTTTAGAAGTGTCAGTCAGATGCACGTCATGTTCTGCTCGTTAAGACGAGAGCAAGGGTATGGTATCATGCTGGTCACGTGTCAGGTACACCCCACTATGCTAGCTCCTTGGAATGGAGTAGATAGACACGGATAGGAATTGTGTTGTTGTAGAGTTATGAAGGATAAATTATCATTTTCGCAGTAGAAGTAAAGACAGAAACAATTATCCCAACACTATCCAATTCATTCATCCATACATGATTTGAACTACATTTTCCTGAAGGAGAAGAAGACAAAGAACCAGAGGTCTCATCTCATCTTGTCTTTGTTCCACTTACTCACCCACACATCCTATTCCACATTTATTAATACATGCTTTATAAATTAATACAATCATTTCTTTTCATATAACAACCTCACCAAGCTTCTGTGGTCCAATGGTTAGGATTCCACCCTTCCAAGGTGGAGGTTCGTGTTCGATTCACGGCAGTTGCATTATCTTTTGACTCGATGATAGATTTTTTCCTAAATCTTTTATGTATCTGTTTTTAATGTTTGGGTTTGGGTTTGGATTTTGGAATTCGAGATTTTGTATTTTTGGGTAAATGAATAGGGATGGATGGATAGATTCTATTTTTGTCATGTGGGTGGGGAAAAGGGGAGGGCAGGCGGGCTGAGCGGCTCGGTTCGGTTTCCGGCGGGATCATGACGGCATGCGGATTTTTACAGTAATGTTTGCTTGGGTGGCTTTTTGATACTATATGCCTAATACTTGTTTATTATTATTGGTAAGTTTATGTACAAAAAGGGGTGTTTTGAGGATATTCGATGTTTATTGGATACTTGTATCGAACGTACTATTTTCGATAATCTGGGTGATACAGTCGGACAGGTTTTTATCGTAAATCAGTAATTATATGAGTATTTATTCCCCAAAGAATAAAAATGAAACGTATCTCGGATTCTCAGCTTATTAATAGTCCAGCTCTGAGACAAACCTTCCATGATCTAGTGAGATAGTCATGATCACTGCGGCGTTCGTTTTCCCCCTCGATCTAAGGGTGATCAAAAAAAGTTCAAAGTTCAAAGAGCAAAGAGCAAAGGATCGCAATTCCCGACGTCTTCTGAGATGGTATTCTAGCAGATCGGATTCCCAGGGCTCATATCGAATGATTGGATTAGATCTGTATTTTGCTTCACGAGTAAATTTTGCTCTCCTTCCCAGTGGTTGTTTTGAATCTCGGAGAGAGAGAGAGGGGGGGGGGGGGTGCGTATTCTGAGATGACTGACTTCTTCTGATGCTCAGAGTGATGGGAATCCTTGTTTCTTCGATTATGAATATGGAATTTGGTAATTTCTGTTTTAGTCTTAATCAAGAATTGGTTCGTCATCGATGCTAGATAATATTCGCCATCCATTATCGATCAAATAAAAAGTCGCTGAAAAAGGCTTCTTTATAGGTCTGTTACGGTTTTGGAAGTGCTCGGCTCTCCGGAATTCGAAGTGGAAAGTATAGATACTTCATCCTGTCTGGCTGTGTAGGCTATTATATCACAAGCCAATCAATCTGGACGACCAAATTCTCTAGAAGAAATTCCGTATTGTATTCTCTTCGTTTAACAAGCTATTTAGTCAAGAAAATTGATACTCATAACAATGTTCCATAAACACCAAATATTCGAGTCCAAACTAGTGCAGTTCAAACTCAATATCATCACTCGTCCTCAACTAATGTAATCTTGAAGAATCCAGATAGGATAAATCATCTAGTATCAATATAATCTCACACAGTCTCCCCACTCCGTGATCATTCTCCCCACCAGCACAAATCCCCACACAGGCGGGATGAATATCCCAAGAGGAATAAAAGCAAACACATACAAGAGAGCTGCTGGTGGCTGAGGACCAAAATCAGGAGTTGTCGCCACGAACATTTTAGACACGGCTTTAGTATACACCGCAGCAAAATTTTTAGTCCTCTTGTTCCAATCGCCAGTCATACTTTGTTCCTCATTTCGAAGCGTTTTGCCAATTTCATGACTAGTAGGATAGAGGTCGGAAACACCCGATAGATACAAAGAAAGAATGGTTGGAAACAAAAAGAGGATCTTGAGAAGCTCAAGGGTACTGAGAAGAGGAAGACAGAATCCATATAGACCACTAGCAAGCCAGGTCATCATGATACCTCTTTCAATTACGGAACTCTCGCCAGAATGAAATTTCGTCAATCCCGCAATTAACCCAAAGAAGAGACCTACAACACAAATTCCGATACTAATTTCTACCAGTATAGCCCATCCTATTCGTCCGCTTGTTCTTCTTATAGTTGGTGAGTAAAGAAGCTCTTCGAGCTCGGCGATTGATGCAGTAGTCGTAGTTGGTCTTCCCGGCAGTTTAAGTAGCGTACGCACATTGGAAATAGATGCGGCCATGTAATTTTCTTCACTATCAGTGATCGGTGAAAGTTTTCTGAGTTGGGTCGCATTGGACTTTTTTTTATTGCTTTTAGGCGGGTTAGCAAAGTCATCCCAGCGGAGAAACCGATGACAATTCGGGTGATAAATTATAGCCGATCGAACTGGAGCGAATTCTGCATTGTCATCCAAACTCATTGGAATAATACGATCTTTCAACGCAAGATTGTACAGAAGTATGTTTTGTTTGAAGTAAGAGCTGGTGGAGCCGGAGGATTTGTAGGCTTCAAGCCTTTTCCTATTTTCTTTCATGTTCTGTAATATGGCGAAAAATGAACTTGTCTTCTCAGCCCGAGCAGATGACAAATTCACCATAACCCGGTGAATGGTATATGATAGGCCTTTTCCTGATGATAGCCTGGGTGGACGAGGGATTTGGATTTGGTACTCATTTGTTGAACCTACTGGCCTTGCTAGGATGTCCAGATTAGACTGTGTACGAAATTCATCGACGAAGAAAACATCTTGTAACACCGGGCTCTCATTGCCAGTAGGCAATATTTCACCAGTTGGATCTACCGGCGGATTGGCCTGAGCCGCGCTTGATTCAGATTCGTTTGCGGCAGGAGTAGTAGAAGCATTGAGCTGAGAAACTACTTCCAAATGCATCATTTCCGCATCTCTAGCGGATAGCTTCTTCTTTGCCTTACTTGCAGTGATTAGATCAAGTAGATAAGTGACAAGATCGAAGAAATACATCTCACTAGCTGTTGAAGTAAGTTTAAGGGAGAATTTTTGAAGGTCTTCTTTGGTGAGACCACTCCATGCTGGATTCTCGACTTGCATCCCATCTTTTGGCAGGAGAGAAATCATTTGGGCTATTTCGCCTTCAAATCTTCCACCCAATTTCTCTGCTTCGACCATAGTCTCGCTGCGTATCATGTACAAGCAAGAATAGTCTGGAGAGACCACATTTGAGATTAAGTTAACAAGAGTCATGGCAAGATATGGTATAACTGTAAGGTGATATGACGCGTATCCCCAGCGGCTAATCAAATCTGGGCGATTTGAGAGAAGGGTGGTGAATGCAGCGACAACCTGGATAAGTGAGGCCACTGCTTTCAGAGCACTATAGCTAACACTGATCTCGCTACTAAGCCTTGGATCTCCGTGAGTGTCCGAAGCCACTTGAGAAATCAGAAAGGTATTGCGGGGTACTATAGCAAACTCATAGCCTTCTGGAAGGTCGTATGTGCCATGTACTCGCGACAATCGTAAGTCCACGCGCGATCTCGCCCAGACAGAATCAAAGTGTACCCACGTGGATGATTGTTCGCGGGCATATGAAGGAAGATATGTTATCATGTTGGCTTTTATAGGTTGAGAAGAGTGATGTCCAAATTGCCCCTCGGGATCTGTATCCTCCACGTCTCTATCATCCTCAAGCACTACTCCCACATAAAACTTTTGACCAGGCTTAGGTCTCCAGTGAGGTGCTCGAACAACCATACATAATGCCCCGGCTTTGCATGCCTTTTCGAGCTCGTTTCGAGCTCGTATTGGGAGTCGAACAATAGCGTTGAGAGCCCGCAGGAGGCCAGACATCGGAAAGAACAACGCCAAAAGAGCATTACAACCCTGAAGAAGGGTGTCATCTCCAGGGCTTGATTTAACAGTCGCTGCATGTGCTAAATAATTTGTGGCAAAGAAAATGATGACAGCTGCAACTGAAGGCCAATAGTTCTTGGCAATAGGAAGGCACAATATGTGGTCATTGCCATGTTGAGTTGTGCTATTGGGAACGTTTATGGTGATATTTGTTAAAAGACGATCGGGAAGAATGGAACTCATCATGAGATTGAATTAGACGTTCAAGGTAAACACGTATTGCACTAGCATTGCGAAGAACTTTTGATAACTCTATGTATAATTTTGGCAATTCTCAGCCTCACAGAACGTCTTGTCCCGTGTTATATTGAGCGGCTAAAGTAGCCAATATGTGTACACCTCTAAACGCCAACATATATATATATATATATATATTGCAAACCAATCATATACACCAATAAATCCGGTAAGTAAGAAGGATTTCCTCCCGCCTCAACAGCCAACCAAATATTAAGGATTGAAATAGGCTTCTTTCCGTGCAAGAGGCTGAGTTCGCCTCAAACTTAATCTTCTTCCATACATAGGCCTGTTATCACTGAACAGAGTACTCCGCACATTTGAAGTGGTGTGCAGAACTTCCGCCCTCGAGCCTTCTTTATTAGGGAAAAAAGTAAACTCACAAATAATCTTCGCATCAACTGACACGCTCGAGTCACAATGTGGCTGATCTGTGAGTTGAGATGAATACACCGGCTGCATGCCAGTTATGCGGTATTCCATCGAAACGTTTGTATGGCTTAATCATGGTGCAGTAGCAGTGTAGCTAGTCATCTCAAACATGAGATCGCAAGAAAATGTTTAGGGTTATGTCGAGTTAAGTCAGCGGGGGAGAGGGGCTTGAGGGGCTTGTGGGGTCACGTAATATCGGGCTAAACATTCCTTCCAATGCCGATGTTAGCTCCTTAACCTCATGGGGCAAAAAATCATCGGCATCGTCGAAACGAAAATTCCCGACATGTCTGTTCCTCGATTGCCATCTGAAGTGAGACGGCGGTAGAAAGAAAGCTATCGAGACTATCTCACTGGTCAATGTTAGCATGCGAGATGCTTGTTTTATCTCTAGTCTCGAAGACACGGGATACACATAATGTCATGTCTAGATGTAGGACTTGTTGCATCATCTACACGGTGTCAATAGACTCCGATTGTGTGACCTTGTGTCTATTGAGCATTCCATGTGTGATTGAATATCGTTGAAGGTAGGTACAGAGGTTTCGAAGTGGCAGATATAAATATATCTCCCAAGACACGCTCTTTGGCTCTTGATTCTCATTCTTCTCTGTTTTCTATTAACTAGCTAGTATCAAACAAGCAAGGTGGAATAACCCCGCATCTGGTACACGATCTCAAGATACCTCTCCCTTCACACTCAGGTTCGCATCAATTATCGACCTTACTTCAATATGCGATCAACTGCAGTCCTTATCGTGGGTGCAGGTCCTACCGGCCTTACGTTGGCCCTCGAACTTTCCCTTCAGAAAATCCCATTTATCCTAATCGATCCTCTCTTCACTCAGTCTCCTAATTCTCGCGCTCTCGTTCTTCACACTCGTTCCGTGGAACTTTTCTCTCGACATTCCTCTCTCGTATCGAATCTCCTCCCTCTCTGCAAACAAAATATCGGCTTAAGCTTCTACGTCAACAAGAAGAATGCATTCGAAATGGATCTCACCCGGGAGAACATGGGTGTACTCGATACAGAGTATTCAGGACCTTATTTTCTCAGCCAGGGCGAGACAGAATCATGTCTTGAAAAACAATTAGAAGAATATGGAGGCAAAGTGGAGAGGGGAACAAAAGCCATGTCCATTGTTCAGGATAACAATGGTGTTTCGGTTCGGATTAAACAAGTACGGCAAGATGGCTACGAAGAATCCGACGAGGAAGAGATTCGCTGTCAATACATTGTTGGATGTGATGGATCTCATTCAATGGTTCGGAAATCGGCCGATTTGAAATTCGAAGGCTCTGCATACCAATCGGATTTCATACTGGCAGACGTGAAGTTAAAATGGGAGTATGCATCGGATCGATTGACGTTGTTCATGGGGAATGAATTCATGATGTGTTTACCACTCAAAGATGGAGTACACCGACTTGTATTAAGTGTTCCTAATTCTAAGAAAGATGAATCGACTTACGGAGAGGCCAAAGATGATGTACCTACTCTTAAAGAATTTGAAGAAGCTTTCAAAAGACTTGCCAGGGGGATATTGAACTCGAGGATCCTCCTATATGGATTACAAGATTTAAACTCCATCATAGGCTTGCCGATTCCTTTCGCAATGGTCGTATATTCATCGCTGGAGATGCAGCGCATATCCATTCGCCAGCTGGTGGTCAGGGAATGAACACGGGCATCCAGGATGCCATCAATCTCGGCTGGAAACTCGGCGCTGTTCTTCGAAACCAGAGGAAAGAAAGTTTTCTCGACTCCTACAGTATTGAACGACGTCGCGTGGGAGTCAATCTCTTAAAAGGTACAGATCAGGTCTTCGAATTTATGGCTACAACCAATCCTGTTTATCTCTATCTACGCAACACTCTCTTTCCATGGATGGCCCCAATTGCTTTCAAAAAAGGTGCAAATCGCGCTAGGAGATACCGATTTATTACTCAACTGGGAATACGATATCGACACTCGTCGATTTGTAGAACTGCAAGTGCATATTATGGGCCCAGAAGAGGAGGCGATCGCGCGCCCGATGGGAAAATAGTGTTGCCTGATACTCAAGAGCAGACAAGTCTATATTCGTTATTTAAAGGGCCAACACATCATTTGTTACTCTTTTCAGGGTTGAGGACAGGGGCAATGGACGCACAGGATTTGTTAGAGACGGTTGGAACAGATTTTCCGGAAAAGGAACAAAGTTGGTTGAGGATCCATAGGATCGTGGGTGGAGAGAAAAAAGGAGGAGAGGGGATTTATGATGAAGCAGGTATTCTACATGAGAGGTATGGGTTCGTAAATGAACCGGGTTACGTATGTGTTAGGCCCGATGCCTATATTGAGTATATTGGGACAATGAAGGGATTAGCAGAGTGGAAAGCAAGTTTGCTTTTATGAAGAGAGAATGAGCATGATATTGAGATACTTGGTAGTTTGTAGGATTTAGGTATGGATTTGGCTCTTGGTGGAGATAACTCTGCGGAGTATTGATGAGAGACGCTGAGATATTGGTAAAGGATGGAACGGGATGAGATGGAATGTCCGGTGCTAGTAATGTTTGAATGTGTTAATTGGGAATACCTCACTCACTCACTCGATGCGATAGCATACGGTGGCTGTTGTATTACGTTTATCTTATATATGAAATTCTACTTATTATTATTATTATTATTTCTCTATCTTTGCACAGCTTGCTGCTTGTTGTTTGTTTGTAGATGGATATGAATTTGTATACAGGTGAACATTGAATCCTGATACTAATGTTGACGTTGATATCGATTTTGATGATCTTCTAACCCAAGTGAAAATCATCAAATATACACTTCACGAACTTGACTCTTGGGGGATTTCGTCTCGTTTAGATAACTCAAATTCTGATTCTCGTTTCGTGGGATGCAAATCGGATTGATCATGGTGTAAGATTCAAGATTTCAGAACCTGTGTAGACATCTAAGATATCAAAATGTCAAGATGTCAAAATATGAAGAAGTTGAGAAGTTGAGAAATCGAGAAGTCGAGTATTGAAAAAACATAACTCATCTCATCTCATCTCATCTCATCTTTTTCATTCTCCAGTCTGAATTCAGTACTTCATACTTAGCACTTAGCACTTAGCACTTAGTATTAAAGTATCATCGGGATTGAGAATATGTGTATAGATGTACAGATGTAGATGGGTAGTGGAAATTCTCTATGTAGGTAGGCAGGTTCGTAGATGGGTAGGTATAATATACTGACTACTTATTATAATATACCTCCTTATATACATGCTACTTACTGTCTGGGTATTATCTGGGCAAGGGGATTTGGTGTGGAGTATTTTGACTCTTGAGTGTTATTCTAGGTTTGGATGAGTGGGTAGTAAGTAATATTGGTATTGGTATTGGTATTAACAGCTCAGAACTCAGAACTCACATCACAAATCACAATATCATCAGCTCATTATTACAATTCATAATATTATCCTATTATTACAACTTGAACCAACAAAATACCTAGATGGGTAGATGGGTAGTAGAGAATCTCATTCATTATACATATACATATACATATACATATACATATACATAATCATCGTATACTTAATCATCACATTGTATACCTAGGTATGTATGATATTTTCTCTACACTAAGTAACTCAGCTCAGTTCAGTTCAGCTCACTCGCTATTTATTGAATTGTTTATTCATACATCCATAGGTATGCAAACCAACTCAAGCCACACACAAGCTCCCCTTCACCAGAAATTACATCCCCATCTCCTCCCCGTCTCCTCCCCATCTCCCTCCCATCTCCCACCCCCTAAGAATCGATAAATTCCTATTAGTGTGCCCCTCAATGCAATATCCGCCCGCCCATCCATCTGCTAATATTTCACGAGTTCTTTGTGTGGGTGTGAGAACTTTGACTTTTGAAACACAAATTTTGGGTTTGAATATGAATATGAATATGAATATGAATTGGTATGTGAATTTGAATTTGAATATGATTATATGACTCCATGCCCATCCGTCCGTCCGCCGGCCCCACCATCGCCCGCCCGCCCGTCCATGCAATGCAATATGCTATCCGTAATTCTTTTGTTGTGATTTTGTTTCGAGGTGATGAGAGAAGAGGAGAGAGAGGAGGAGGAGAGACTCCTATAATGTATGACATATAATGTAAGGGTTTCGCTTTTGTTATATCTGAGTATTTGGGTATTTGTTGCGTTGCGTTGTGTCGTGTTGAAATGTGAAATGTCAAAATGCTGAGATGTGATGTTGCATAAAGTTGCAAATAAAGTAAGTAAGTACATGCAATATTCCCATCCAATTGCAAGAAATTTTCCTGCGCTTTTGTGTGCATCTGCCGTTAAATCGTTGAAAATCGTAAGTGAATCTGTAGATCTAATACACATCACCCAATCATTCTCGAAGTTTCGAAGTCGAGGTTCTTTCATGCGAGCCACGTCTCTTCCTTTCTCGCCGGTGTGGCTTCGCCCGATGCACCCAGACCTCCGCCTATCGTCAATCCATCATCATCATCGTCTTCTTCTTCATAGCTTGCATTATCATCGGTTCCTCCATTCGTAACCTCGCTGTGCGTATACGTCCTATCATCGTAATTATCCTCCACCATCCACGTCAGTCCATTGGCGGCTTCTTCCAGCGGGAAAACTTCCCGAGCGTATTCCTCCAATCCTCGATACCCTTCCCATAATTTCATCGCTTCTTCCGGTACCTGGTCTTCTAATTCCTGCTCGGCGAAATATGGAGGTTGGCGTCTTGGATCCGAGCGTCCTAATGAATACATCTGCTCCAATGCGACCAGTTGATCTTTATATCCTCTTGGAATCTTGACTCGTACTTCAATAGTAGGATTGTGTTTATATTTTACTGGACGACCGACACCGCGGGAAAAGGCGGCGCAAGCTTGTTTGGGAGAGAGAAACTCATAAGCGAGAGGTATGCGACGAGGATTCGAGGAAGAAGCCGGTGGTCCATCTTTAAATACTTGTAAAACTGCGGGTCCAACATCATGTTCGGCGTCTAGCCATGGTAAAGGTACATCTGGATGGAAAGGAGCTTGCCACTCAAAGGAACCGTCGGGTTGAAGGGCCATGCAAAATAATGGGTATGGTAGCGATGTGAAGTTGTTGTTATAAATTCCAGTGTAGAGAAATGTTGATGGGAGAGAAGGGAGTTTGGTTCGGATATATGTTTCGACTGCATATTTCTCGGACCAGAGAGGTAATGATGGCCACGAAGAGGAGACGACAGAGTGATTGGGCATAGATGAATAGATGTAGTGCTCTATACCAACAGCTGCAGCTGCATCGGCCAAAGCACAACCAATGGCATATTCATCACCCCAGAATGTAGTATTGATAAATGCTAATTGCGCTCCATGGAAAAGGTCTTGAATGAGTGCATCATTTAGTTTGGTAGTCTCGGGGTCTAATGTTGGCGATGATGATGAAGATCGTTTGATGAATAGGTCGCCTACTAGGACAGTAACATTTGGGAGTGAAGATATTTCAGATGCTACTATCCCGTCAAGATTTCGTAATTGAGCTCGTACATTATAGCCCACTGCACTAGCAACGCGGATAAATGATGCAGCCTGTCGTCCGGAGGAATTGACGACAGCGATAGTTTTCGATGGAGTGGTCATGGATCGTTTTGATGGACGATCTGAAAGAGTTGGAGGAGGATTATAAAAAGAGAAACTATCAAGAGGGGAACTTTCGGGATACGAAGTGCAAGGTGCGTGTTTGCGATTTATGGGTTGTGGTGGTTCGGAAGGTCGAGGTCTGATGGCGAGGGTAGCCCTCGGCGTTGCTGAGGGCATTGGATGATGTGATTAATTGTCAGACGATCTGTTGCCTTTGAATAGCAAGCAATGATGCAAGGCTAATTTTTTGTGTTTTCCTCCAGAAGAAATTTGTGGCTGAAATCTCTCTCTTCCGAGTTACTCCCAACTTTAGACGAAATGGAAATTACTGTTTACTTGTAAGGGAATTCCAATTGAACCCTTGCTGCTCCTTCAGACAAACGAGGAAATGGAAGCGGAGAAGGTTCCTGAAAGGGGGTACCGACGAATCAATTCCTCTGGTGAGAACCTGCGCTCGACAAATATGAATCTAATGGTCGAATTGAATAGATGGGTCGAAATGCAATGCTGTACGTCGATCACAAATGCCAAGTTCTTTTTTTTGGGGTTAAATATCCTAGGTATAGTTCGAAAGTGTTCGAACTCGAGTTATTCAACTTATAAACTACTAGACCCAGTGACACCACCTCAGCCCTCGTTTGCGAATGACCTCAAAAGGACTCAGAGAAAATGCCTGGACTGCTAACGAATTACCAAAGATGGGATGAGTTTCCGTGATGTTGGAAACTTTCTGCGTCTAAGATTGATCCAATCGGGTAATTATCTTCTTCTTTATCCGATTGATTTTTTTTAAAGCGGTGAAGTTGTTGTTTGCTTTCAATTTATTCAATAAATCCTCTCTCATCGAACGAAACGGGGGAGGGGGAAGTCAAGTGATTGAAGCTTCTTTCCTTTCTTTCTCCCTTGCAGCAGCTTCTCCTTTTGTTGTTAAGAAGGAATGAATATATTTGTTCGTGTAAGTGATTCTTTTTTTTTCTTCCTTTTTTTTCTTGATCAATCGTTCTAGGTATCGAGATAGAGATAGGAAGATGTAAAGTGTAAGAGGAAAATCTTGTACCAAGTGAAAGATAACTGTGGATGTCTGTGTCGTGGGATTATTTGTGTGGTGGTACAAGAAAAACGCAGTACGAAGAGTGATGCTTTTCTTATGCAACGAAACAAGAGATGTGTAGCAGTTGGAATAAGTATGAAAAGCTGTGAGATCCTAATTGGGTATGGAATGTAGATTGATATCGAGGGGCAATATTTAGTGAATAAAGTAGAGTAGAGAAGATAAAGGAAAGCTTTTAGTAGAGTCCGAGTCCGGTCAGTTAAGGTAAGGTAAGGTAAGAAAGATACCTTGATGATTGCTAGATGGATGCTTGCTGGTTTATGTCAATCATAAAATTCTTTCTTTCCGAGGTTTGTTTCCAATATTATATACTCCGTATACTAGGTATGTTGCATACCGAGTAGGAATGGATGGGTAAGGAAGGTTATTGAAATGTCGATGTGATAGGTAGGTACTACCCTCACAGGGAAAGGGATACGTATAATAATTACATGTATATATGTACAAGTATATATGTATACATACGTAAATCCCTTATTGCTAGGTAGTAAAAAGTGTAATGAAGAAAAGAAGAGGGGATTGGTTCAACAAGTGTACAAAAGTAGGAACATTTAATCTTTCATGACTCGGTCCACGTGCAATGTCCTTATGATCTAATTGTATATACGCCCATCGTAAATAGTTTACCGACTAGACCTCATACTCTACACTACACTTATCTCCCACCAGTCTCCACAAGCCATTCGAAAGGATCTTCCCCGTCCCCCTTTGTTCTACAGAGAGAGAGATAAGGCTAAGAAAGAGTTCGGTCAATCAATGTTCTTGTTCTTGTTCTTCTTCTTCTTCTTCTTCTTCTTACAACCTTGATGGCTACGGCAGTTGGAGTTGATCATGATATACTTCTGATCGTGTAACATGTACATGTACCTACTGCCTAGGGAGGGGTATAATGCTTCCTAGATGCAATGCTCGTGAGATCTCCTTGGTCTAATACTGCACTCGTCTCTTGTACACGTTCATCAACTTAACCGTGTAGGGACAATCTCGAATTGAGTTGTTTGAGCATGCATACACAGCAACTGCCAGCCACATATATCATCTGAAAATGATTTTTACCTAGTATGGAAAAAGTATTTTTATATCAAATCCCTTCCGTCGCTCAATCCACCATGATTTCCCCACAAAATGTAGATAAGGCGGGACCTACTTCGTAATAGAGTTTTGCGGCATCGGATGATGAAAAAAGAAACTTCATCTAATTTGACTAATTAGTGAAATGTGAAAGCAGACGGTGCACCATGTGGTCTAAGACGTTGAGAATTAGTAATAGTATCATTTTCCATCCATTCAAACACAATCTGGATGTTCTGTTTGGAGGCCAATGGGAAAATTGTATCAACTCCGTGTGTATTATGTGTGTTGCTCGTCCCATTATTTGAAATGCTATGCTGTATCTATCATCTAACCCTTACCACCGTACTTGTGCTTGTACTCTATATCATGTATAACTCATGGAAACATTTGCCAAGTCATACTTTATATGTACGAGTAAATTAACTCGTATGGCAGGCATTGTCGGTTTCGGCGTGCCAATGCCATTCCCACTCACTACAAGTGGATATTGGAATGAATGCTTCCCTTTTCGTGTCTACTCTGCCATGGAGAACTCTCAAGGACGTTGTCATCTAACCAATGAGAGGGATTCTATTATGCTGTCTTCTCTAGATGACCTCCACGTGGTGTCATCAACACGTGTTGATACCGAATTGTTCATTTAGATCAATCGGGTTGAGATACAGATCGATGAAAGCTTTATTAGGAACTTCATGCCCCAATAGTAGAGGTTTACCATGCTGTATCATGTATCATGTTGTATCACCTCGTATCAATCAATGCCCTTACTCTTTCTTAACTACCTACTCACCACTCACTCCTTACTACTCATTCGAAGTTTGACATTAAATCTGCTTTTGGTATAGACTATCAGACTATCAGACTATCAATTCCGACCTCTAACTTACCATGAATCCATGATATCAAATCAAAGAATCACGAGATCCTTATCCATCCTCCTTGAGCATTGAGGAGAGAAAAAAAAAGAACAGAGATTGATTTTTCTTACCCCATTCCAACATGAATTGAGAATCTTGAACCAATGAGAAATTTTGCTTCTCAAACCATTTCCCATTACCTAACCACATCATGGTTTACCTTGAACTGTCTTGAAATTTTTCAATGCCATGTCGCCATTTCTTATAATTATTACTTCATGAGAATTGATCCTTTTCCGTCCTGTCATACATATTTCCGTGATTCTTCACGATGGAATTGATCTGGACTGCGAATTCGGAATACCGCCATTTCAATGTCTCATTGTTCCCAGAGAACTCAATTTTCAACATCCACATGAACCAAAGGGTTATTTTGGACCGAATAGTCAATCTTATTCTGCTTTGCGTTGCGTTGCTTTGCTTTGCGGCCAATGAAAATATTCTTAGCTAGCCATATGAAAGTTTCCATGACCCATTATTGGATCTTTTCACTTCAACAAAAAAATTCACCTAAATCTTATACGAATTACCCCTTCATCATAGGCGACAGAATCTTCCAGATTCAACAAAATCAAAAAAAAAGTCCCTCATCTCATGGGCCATAGGCCATGGCTCAAGCTTTCCCCCCTCGCACTTTCACGTGGTACAAAATAATCCGTACCGAAGAATGAACGACGATTAGATTCTCGATTTCTACGGGATGAGCCTTGTTTTGGAAACTATTCTCCTAGCTCAAGAGTCAATATGCATGGACTTTGCTCAATTGAGAAATTATCATGTCAAAGAAATCCGGGGTAGCATTAGGGGTAAAGACCCTGTTTTTGCCTGTCTTCTTTCCCCTCTTCTAATGAGTCCTGAGTACATCTTTCTCTCCACTTCTCAGCCCTCACCCAAAGCAATTTTCTCGCCGCGGAGAAGGATAATTTTAACATGACGAATACTTGGTGTGATTTCGGGTCATAAGTATGAATGTGAGAATATGATGGGAAGGCGGGTGATTACCCCGCAGATTCTCGAATCAATACTCTTTTGACGTCAATGTACTTCGTATATCTTCTCGTTATCTTATCTATCTCACTCCTCAGATCTTTGCCCAAATTCCTTCATTTGATTGGAGATGTCTTGCAGTTCGTTCGGCTGCAATGCAACCAACTATTCATCCAAAATGCAAGGAGACAGATTTGGTCATGAACCTGAACTATCCTTCTATCCTTCCCGCTTTTAACTTCCATCGTCCTTGCAGAGAATCGTTTTATTTGCTGCCACACCACTGGGTTTGCATATGCGTGAATCATTCAGGCAGGTCCTCATCGCAAGGCGGAAATTCTGGTCATGATCCATCAACCACTTCACAACCATAAACGAAACCGAAACATTTCGAACTTGGCTGACTAGCTGACCAATTGTTCCAAAGATTGTTTTTTCATGAGCTCCGATTTTGGCTAATATCACTCGGATTGGGTGGCCAATTATCTAGGCGATCTCGCATAGCTGTGTGTGCGAACAGTGCCCATTGGTAAACTTGCTCTCGCCCACTCTGCAGATATATATGCATTCAAGTACCATGTACTCATCTACCAAAGGCTTCACACACATGGTAGGTGCTAGTTCAATAATGAGTATATGTAAAGTACTGTAATTTGGTAAATTAGATAGTTTCTACAAGCCAATAGTCCTATGAACTCGCATCAAGGACAAAATTCAATCCACAATGTCGAAAAGCATTGAACCCCATTTTTTATCTTCCACGCGAGGAAAAAAAGCAAGAACATCAAATTGCAAGGAAAATTCATTGTAACTTCTTGATCCAAACTTTCGCCTCTGCCAGTCTTCTGATAGCTGTTGGATATTCTGGACTTCCTATTCGCTCTACCAATGAGCTCCACATTGCACTGGTTAGAGCTTTTGAGGTCTTTGCCAACGATTCATCCACTTTCTCTACATTTCCTATAGCATGTTCATCCTTATATAATACTCTCGCTGCCTCAATTCTGTCCGCTGCATTCTCCCATCTCTTAAGTACTGACTTGATGGCTTTTGCTATGTTAGCCGTCGCTGCTGAATATGTCTTGAATGTATTTGGTGGAATCTTGATACCAGGCTTTTCAAGACCTTGCTTGAGATCATTGTAAACGTCTATAAGCATTTTCCCGATGGAAGGACAATTGGGCCCTTCTTTCTTCCCAAGTATTTGACAGAGAATTTGTTCGCCTTCGCGATATGTTTTTTGTGGAATGTCGGTGAAGTCGTGATGTGTGATGTTATGAGCAGCTCTTATCCAATTCGGATGATATTCTTCGAAACCAGCATTCATAGCATACCCATCGAATATACCTGTAAGTTCTGCAGTAGCTTCAATTTGCTGTTCAATGAAGGAACGCCACGCGTGATCTACTTCTCGATTCTTTTCGACAAACTTATCGATTGTCCAGAGGAGCGGTTGAGACTTTTTTCCTTCGCTTTCCACAACTTCTCTTCGGAGTGCTTCGATAGGTAGGGCAGCTTGATTAAAGGGACTATCGGTTAAATTCTCAAGAGTTCCATTCTCATCCAATGATATCTTCGCAATATCACTGATAGCAGAGGCAATCTCAACCACCGCATCCCCATTCGCTCTCTCGGCCTTGACCTTAAACTTGCTCTTCATCGCTTCCTCAGCATTCATTTTCATCGTCTCCATAGCAAGCTCATTTTCCTGAGCCCACCGACCTGCATAAAACCCAACAAGAACAACGACAAGTGGAACGATAAGCCACCACAACCAACCCCACCCATATTCTCGCGAGATGGTCGCGACAATCCCATCGGAGAGCGGAGGCGGCTTTACCGTCTGAACAGGAGCAGGCACGCGACGCGGTGCTAGTCCTGGTTCATCCACGGGCATGTATCGACCGCCCATAGCAACAGATCGCGGAGGTCGCTGATATGACTTTGCCTTGCTTCCGGTATTTTCGGGCTTCGAAGCTCGTTTCTGAGCTTTGGGTAGAGGGACTGCTGGAGATGCCTTTGTCTTACTTCCGGCGTCCTCGGTTTGGAAAACTCGTTTCTGAGCGTTGGATGTAAAGTCTTCCAAAGAGGACTTTGCCTTGCTTCCCGTGTTCTCGGGCTGCGAAACCCGTTTCTGAGCTTTGGACAGAGGTACTGCCGGAGATGGCTGTGCGGCTTTCGCATTCCCGGGTTGGGAAAGTCGTTTTTGGGCTTTGGAGAGCGGGGCTGGTGCAGGTGCGGGAGTCTTTTCTGGGGCTGGGGCTTGGAATGGAATATCCGTGCGCACGTTGTGCTCTCTGAGATAGTCATTGTGTTTTGCGAGAATTCGCTCGGTTTGCTGACGAGCTTTCAGTTGGAGGGGTGTCTCGGGGACATTTCTCCTTTCGACGTTTCCTCCTTCACCTTCGGAAGCTGAAGCTGAAAGTGACGAAGCGGGAGAACTATCAATACTGGAAAAATCTGCGAGATCGTCGGCGAGTGTTTGGCCGCGGCGGGGCATGGCTTTTATGGTGCTGGAGGAGCGACGGCGACCGACTGGGACTCTGGTGTTGCTGGTTGTATTAGGGGAGGTCCCACCGTAGTCCGGGATGGGACCTGTGTAGTTTTGGAGGATGCTTCCGGGTCGCATTTTGAGGTGGGGGTGGTGATTTTGATTTTGAGATGTGGTAGGGTGGGATGAGATGGAGTGGAAAAGAGGCAAGTGAACTAAACTGAATTGGACTGGGCTATGTTTCGTATTCACAATCCCTTATATCTGTGAGATTTCCTTCGTTTTCAGAAAAAGGTCGCTATCATAGGTATGTAGTATGTATAATCACAAATTACAAAACACGCATGCGCCTACACATACCTCTCTCTCTATCTCCCTCGCTACCTACCTCGTACAAAATAACTAACTTCATTCGTATTTCACACACCACAACAAAGAAAACAGATCATGAAACAGCGGGTTTAAATTTTCTGACAAGGGAGTGGGGTCTTTTACTATTCTTTGTTTCTAGTTTTGGGGGGTTAAGGTTTGTTCTTGGGACGAATGCGGACTTTTAGGGAGGTTTCTTTTTCTTTTTGTGTTGGGGGGTTTTTGGAGACGTTGGGATAGGGTAGGGTATTATCAAGGAGATTATGCGTGGATGAAATGTGTTTTGGGTTGTACTACTGTACTTTATTATACCTCGATTTGTTCACTCTTGTTAGAATGATTTGGAGTTGGTTTGGAGATGGTATATCTTATATCTGTTGATGTATACATACATAGGTACATAACTGATATCTAATATACAATACTTGATATCTAATATCTAATATCTAATGATGTATATGTAAATCAATCAATCAATCAAGATGGGATGAGATGAGATGAGATAAAATAAGATGAGATGAGATTGATTAATACCTATCCTTAACAAAGAAATCGGAGAGTTATATCTTGATATCTATCTGAGTATCTACTACACATATAAGATTTCAATTAACTACCTACCTACCTATTAATTTTCAGTTCGGGAATGGAATAGATGGTTTATTCGCAGGTATCTAGATATAAGTATAAATAGGATGGATGCGATGAGATAGGATAGCATACTAGAATAAGATACTAGTAGTAATATTTATATATGATATGATTATTGTAGGCTATTTGTTTCAGTGTATATTTACAAAAGATCTTTAGAACAGGAGAGAATCTCTAATCTCTAATCTCTAATATTCAAATTACTTCAACATCTCAGATCTCACAACTCGCTCCTAATTCCAAAGTCGAATAGATAAGAAAAGAAAATTTAGTACAATTACTCATCATTCCATGTTCGTATTTTATTGAAGAATTGAAGTATATACATATCTATATTTATCTATATATTTCACATACATATATAAAAGCATTTTTCATGTAAAGATGAATCGGTATATCTAGTTGTATCTATATCCTAATCGATCAATATCGTTTCAATAGCGGCTCGGGTAATGGTTCGAATTCGAGCATTTGTTGTATCCTGTGAGTATCTTGTCTTTTCTAAATTTTCATATTTGGGAGATGGGGTGAGATGAAAAAGAAATGGATGAACTGGATGAACCGGATGAACTAAAAATGAATGAATGCATTGATGAACCGAATTGATGAACTAAAAATAAATGATGATTAGGAAGACAACAAGAGAGAAAGGAAAGAGAAAGGGGGAAGCCATATCAATCAGATAAGGATAGAAATGGAGATGGAGATGGAGATAGAAATAAAAACAGAGATCAAATGGAGGTAAAGATAAGAAAGAAACGGAGTCTAGAGGGGTTTAAAATTTAGAAGAATGAAAATGAAGAGAGTTTTGGGGGAATAGTCTAGTTGTCATTTATATCGATTAGGTGGGGATAAGTATGTGGATGTAGATATGGATTTGGATGTGAATGTAGATGTGAATCAAGAGTGTTTCAGGGAATTAGGGGATAAGAGAATCAGAACATCACTTGTCACATATGTATATATACATACACGATAGAAAATTTACAGTGAGAAGTATATTAGATAATAGATATTACGTATACTCCGTAAAGAAAATATGATTAAGTAACGAGTAATGAGAATAAGGAACAAGAATGAGTTCGAGTCAAGGAAAAAGAAAGAAACATCTTACCTATTATAAATTTGTACTTTGTACCGTACGCCACTGTATCAATAGCACAATACAGGAATGAAGATGGAAAAGGAAAAGGAAAAAGGTATAAAGAAAGAAACAACCAACTAACCAAAACCCCCTCTCCTCCACCTACCACCTACCACCCCCTCCTCTCCCTCTCCCTCGCTTCCCTCGCCTGCCTAATCCTCCACCTCCTACCCTCCAAATCCAAAATATCCACCATTGCCACATCCCCCTCCGCATCAAACCTACACATGCCTCCACTCTCCTCCCCTCCACACCCACCAGGCGCCATCCCCCATCTCCCCCCATCCCCTCCCTATCATCTTCCCCCACCCACACATCTCTCCCTCCTCCCTCCCACTCATTTTCTCCCCAATACCTCCCTTGCTGCACATTCCCCGGATGCGGCCAGATATACGTATTCTTACTTGGAATTTTCGTCGGATCGCCTTTCCAGTAGCCATCCGGACGGGGATACAGGGAATTAGAGGGATGATGGAGGTTGGGATGGGGACGCCATTCGCTGTGTGTGCGAGGTAGGAGCCAGCGGTAGGTGAGACAGTCGTGGGATTTGTGGGCGGAGGCCTGGCAGAGAGTGCAGATGGAGGAGCGGTAGCGGGCTTGGTAGAAAGAGGAATCGGGGTGGTCGGGATGGTCGGGGTTGGGGGTTTCGGGATGGGTGAGGTAGGGGAGTTGGTGGGTGGGTTGGGGAAGGTAATCAGGGGTATCGGTGTTGGGGTTGATGTGTTCGCGAGCTGGGGTTTGGTTTTGGTTTTGATTTTGGTTCTGATGATTGAAATACTGAGGATCGGCATACTCATACTCCATCTCCGTACCAGCATGGAATTGCGCATGTCCAAAATCCACAGGCGGGGTTTCGGTAATGCTACACGTCCTGACTTGTGCTCCGGGAGTAGAATGATATTGATTATATGCCGCATCGATTTGTCCCCTATTTTGGCCATCTGGGAAACTGACTTTCCTCGCGCGCGCTGCACCCGGGTTTGGGTTACTGATAGGATGGAATCCCTCTTTCTCACAGGCATTATTCCAATGACCCGACTCTTTACATTTTCTGCAAGGCCGGTTGGGATATTTCCCATTTGGGAAAAATTGGGTTACATCTTCACCAGTTGGTGCGAGGCATTCTCCCGAATCCGAACTTGAGCTTGAGTCTGCTTGTCCATTACTTTTATGATTCCCATTGCCATTTCCATTCCCACCATTTTTCGATTTCCATGTCCGACACTGATCTTCCCAATGATTTCCCCCACACTCTCTACACCCTGATGAATCCTTCCCTCTCTTGCCCTCTCCAGCGGGATTCTTGCGACAATCTGATTCCCAATGGTATTTGCCCTCGCAAATACGACATTCTAAGAATTCTTGGGATACCCTACCTTTATTTTGATCTCCTTCATTGTCGTTTCTTCCTTTACCTCTTTTCCCTCCTTTATTACTATTACGTCTGGGACTAGAATCATTAGCACCACCACCAGAATTGGAATTCTTACGTCTGTTTTTATTATTTCCCATTTTTGCTTTGGTTTTGCTTTTCCCTTCTCTCGTTTGCTTGTATGAAATGATAAATATATCTCTATGCGTCCAGCGCTAGTATAATTGTATGAGAGTTGTGATTGGTGTAATGAAATATATGTATGAATATAAAAGTGTATGAACAATTTACTTACTCGAGTTATTCTTGCTCTGTTGTGTTGAAAAGATATGCGTGAGTAAAAGAATGGAATTGTTCAGCATCTGTATCGATGAAAGTATATGTATCTGTTCTTCAACAAAGAACGATGGTTTCTTTATGAGAAAGAATGAAAGGGGAATCAAATACATTGTAAGTTCTGTTTCTCGTTCATTGTTTATTCAAAAAGAACAAAGTCAGAGACATAATTCCTTTGTATATATCTAAGCGATAGTCCAGATTCTTTGTGAAGGTTTCCTTTTCCTTTCATGCTCTGTTCCGAATTTCTTTCTGTATAGCTCATTCCCTAATGAACGCGATGTTAGTGGCATGATAGGGAGGCAACTGTGTAGATATATTGCTTGATGATTTTCACACTGCAAATGTACCGTTGTTCATGAATTTCTGAACAAGTGCTCGTAAAGTGGTATAAATGCTGCGTGATTTGGATGTGTATATATCATCCATTAAGTACTGACCAAGTGTTTTCTCATATACAAACTCTATTCGACAAGATAAATATTTGTAGTAAGCTAGACTTCTATCAATACTCATCATCTTATCATTAGAATATATTTGTATCAGAGAATACTAGAACCACACACAAAACAATTTCAAGATGTCATCCTGGAATTTCACCGGTGTTGATTTCGACAACATGCTTGATGAACCATCTTGGGCCCTTTCTCACTTACCTCTTAACAACAGCTCAGAGTTTATTCTTGAGGCTCCAAAAGAGGGGGAGGAAGAATTCGAAACTATCCCACGAGATACTATGTATGATGGAGATGAAGAAGATTCTAACGAGGATGATTTGGATGATTTGCTTCTCCAACTCGAACAGGCGGAGGAGCAAGAAAGATTAGCACAAGAACATTACAGTCGAGCAAAAGATAGCGAACAACCAAACTCCCTAAGCAACAGCTCAGACTACTCACAAGAATCTTCCCTCAACCTCCAGTGTCCTCTTCCAAGAATTAATATCTCTTCAAACATTCGCCAAACTACATTCGTTATCGGCAACAGTAATGAAATCGAACAGAAAGGTAAAGAGAACGCCCCCAGGATATCCGAGGTGCCCCGTCGAAAAAAGCGAGTCCAAGTCCCCTCACCCAGATTCGATTTACCAGTTCGAATTATTGATTTTGCTAAAGTATTCTCTCCAAACACTTCTGAAACAATGGACAACGAATTTGTTCCCAATACGTTAGAAGGTTTTGAGACTATGAACTTTGGCGAATTGATACAAGACTACGAATCTGGCGAGATTTTGCACCCAACCGAAGCCCAAAAGTTCCGCTGCGACCTCGAAAACCCGGAAAATTTCAGCATGGAACCTCATTGGTTCCATGACACTAAATACACGAGGTGTTGGTGCATTCATTGTATTCAATATCGCAAAACACAATCCACAGGTGAGCAGATGGAAGCGCATGATTACAATTACCGTTGCCTCTGTTCATCTTGCTCAGAGCTTTATCACGAAGCCTTGCCTAAAGGTCGATACTGTAATTGTGAAAATTGTACTAATGTCAATGAAGACCAAGGTCTTACAGATCAAATTGAAGCATTTGCTGAACTCCAAAAACAGATCCGACTCCAATCACCCGAACGACAAATTCAAGATTCAGAACAACTTGTTACTGAGACCCCACAGAAGTTACCGTTAGACCTTCTTTGTGAGGAGTCTACAACGATTGCAAGTGAGTCCAATGGCGGCCCCTCAGAATTAGTTAGCATGATTCGTGAGAACTTATGGTTGGATTCTGATTCTGGTACAGTTGGTGATTTCGACGAGGAGTAGACTTTTTCATTATAACTTTTCACATGGTTAAATAAGGTAAGTCGTAAATATATCCTGGTGATATACTCTGCGCGGAGAAAGATAAACCCATGAAAATCTGGCAACAATAAAACTCCCCAAAAATAACCAAGAAAAAAGTACCGATTGACAAAAAAGATTTTCCGCAATGACTTAGGAAGAGTGAAATAGATATATAATTTGTGATTGCAGCAAAATGACCTACTCGGTATAAGGAGGACAATAGAGAATGAATATTTCTTTGTTCCCATAGGGTCAAAACAGACCTAGCGAAGAAATTCTCGATAACTTGATTGGAACAATAAAACCCATACTTAGATGGAGAATTATGGTTATCTGGTACTCGAGCAGAATTCAAACATGGAGATTGTAATCGCATTTTATTGGGTTTTATTTGTGATGTAGAAAATGAGCTCGCGGGTGCATACTTTCAAATGAGATGAAGAGCAAACGCAACAAGCTTTTCGGGGACTCAAGACTAAAAAATAGGACTCACTGCGCAGGAACTAAATTCTTTGTACTTGACCAAAGAAGCAATTGAACTATGCTCGTTGTCTTAAAAGCATTGGTTGGATTTCGGGATTTCGGACGATCATCCCGTTCGTCTAGATAAATGTTCAAATTGAGTTTATAGAATGAAGATTGCATCATCTCATTTTTGTGGATGTTTTGTAGCATCGCTGGATTTCTGTTGGAAAATCAAACTTTTCTCAAACTAAGAATCATGCATTTTGAGGGTAAAACCCCACGAGTTTGCATTATCTTTGAGAACAATGAGTCAAAACTTTTGGGCTGCACCTAAATGCAGGTACTTGACTGCCTAGAGATCCCAAAGTTCCCCATGGTACTTGCACGGTGAGCGTTAACAGGTTTATTAGATGAAGGAAGGTATCAACACATCTGCATCGCCAACGAATACATAGCCACTTCGGAAATGATACAGTACTGACTTTTTTGATCGACATGAAGTAATTCAGTGAGAAAAAAAAAATATGTCTCAATGCCCAATATAGAAGCGATTGGTTCGAAGAGAGCCTAGGGATGCACATACATGCATGGCATGTTGACATGCGTTTTATTTTTGTAATAACCCTCGCTGATAGAGGCGCTTAGCAGCGTCAAAGCATAGATAGAAAGGTTAACCAGGGTGACTCGGATGTTTCTATTGTTGTTCGGTGAAGTGAAGGGATGTTTTGTCCCCAATTTCTGCTGATGGCAGTGTTTCTCCTGCTTCTCATTCATTTTGCGATATTCTCAACGAGTGGCGCCTAAACTTGCTGGGGGTTTGTTGTTGGGCTGAAGAATTGTGATGAGAGTAATGAGCGGTTCGGGAATGATAGGAATTGAAGAGAATTTTAAGGAAGTAGGATTTTTATTATGAAGACAGTTCTTCACTCTCATGAATCTTATCAGATATTGCGGGATTGCCGATGAAGCTCTGAGAAGCCATGGTCTTGACCAAAAGAGACCGGATCGATCTAAGGTTTCAAGGGACCAAGATTGAGACCTTAAAAAAGCATCATGTGACTGTGAACGGATTAGCTGCATGGAATTTTGATCTGGGGGTTTGAGCAAAAAGTGGATGTGTGGAAGTGGATCCCAAACGCGGAGTATGTTCAAAGAGTTTGTGGCCGAATGAAAGCGGATCCATGGTGAAAGGATCATCTCTGGAGGGCAAGAGAGAAAAGAGGAGATTGGATATCTGGAGACTTGGAGATTTGGAGAAGTGGGATGGGGTGGAATGGTTTTTTTTTTCTTTTAGGTGGAGATTTACGCAGTGGTGTGGTATTCTTGAATTTGTGTGCCTATGGAGATGTGTTGTGCATGTGTTATGACAACAATGGCATGGGAAAGTGGTAAACATGACGATTATGAAGGATTTTCACTCGGCGTCATGTCGATATGGTTGCATGAGCTGAGCGGATGGGATTTGACGTGTTTGCCTTTTTGAGGGCACGAGTTTGATGATTGGGAATGTTTGTGCAGCCTTCAGCATCTCATTGCTTGGTAAGAGAGGCAAGAGACTAAGAGATGGATGGAGACGTAAGAGACATAAGACCAAGAATACATTCGATTCGTCGGAGCCAAGAAAAGTATCGTGTAGATAGTCGCCCACCGGGGGGTACACATCGTACGGAGGATGGTATGGATGTTGCTAGTCCAGTCACGAAAAGGAAAAAAAGTTGATTTGGTAGTGAAAAAGGAATACCGTCCCCGATGTGTAGGTAGGCACTGAAACTGTAAACTGTAAACGGCAAACTGCAAACTGCAAACTGCAAACTGCAAACTGTAAACTGTAAACTGTAAACCCCGCACCGATTTGCATAAATGTGAATTCATTGGCACATGCGTGCATATATTGAGAAACTTTACCCCTTCATGAATGATTAGCGTGAACCGACCGGATTCTGACAGATTGAGGTAGATGCTCAAGTGCTCAAGTGTTCAAGTGTTCAAGTGTTCAAGAATTTAATGAATGCTCTCCCTTGGGCCATCATTTTTGACGCCCATCGTGAGACGGAAAGGGAGACGGACCTCTTGTCAAATTGTTTGCAGGAGCGACGACATACTGACAAACTGACCTACCGACATATCGACATACCGAGTAGTCACACATACCAACCTACGCGCTTTTCTAAATTGCTTTTATTGCTTGCAGTGCTTCACGATCCCGTCTGCGTCATGTTCAGCATGTTCAACAAGGATGGCGAGCTTTTATTTTAAACACCATCCAGAGTGAAGCGCCTCCTCCGGTTTCCCCCAATTTGCCATATCGGCTGGGGTGCGGCCAATCAACATGTCCGTTCCCCGCCAGATCCACAGAAAAATTCCATAATAGTACCGTATGTGGCTTAGCGTTATGGCTGAAAGAGGAAAAGCTTGGACCCGACCAACATCTGGGCCAACCTTCCGATTTCTTTTTGATCGCTCGATACCGGGAAAGGGAAGGGAAAAGGGAAATTGGAAAGACAAAACTGGTGAGATATCTTCCAATCTCCAATCTCCAATCTCCAAAAAATTCAACCATTTCTTCTTCTCACTTCATTCAATCGTTAGTTGATCCACGACGTGTACACGGAAGCAGAAGGGAAAAATTTTCTTCACTTATTTGTTGTACAACCGTCTTGTCAGTCTGTATATTAGCCTCGGGCTTATCACATATCAGCCATCTAATAATTCTCTTCCCTTATCAACTTCTACCCATCCATCTGTGAAAGAACGAGTGGGAGCCAATTGAACAAC